ATGTTGAGGTTAATTGGTGATTGTAAATTGTCTGTCCAGGGTGTCCTCTGCCTTCACCCTGAGTCAGCTGGGATAGACTCCAGCCCTACTTCCACCTTCTTTGAGTGAAAATCGTCAGTCTATCCTATACTTAGCCCCACCCAAAAAGATTGTGATTAGTTTAAAGAAATCCAAACACACCTGAGTTTTCCCCCCCAATGCATAATAATGATACCTGCTGGAGAATAGTCTGACTATGTGACACTACTTCACTTTTCAGATCCAGACTAAGTCCATCTTTTATATACAGTCTATGGCAACAGTTTGTTTTCCCGTTTGTTCCTACTAAAGAGTAACTGTTCCTCAAACATTAGGAAAAAGTATTGGGGACTATTTTCAGCTGCAGATTAAGGAATAAGATATCAGGCTTTGGGCACTTGTTAGGAAGAGGGGTACATGACTGGTTTTGGTCCTTTCATTGGATTTGTTGAGAAGAAAAAGTAAAGAATATCACCAGTTTTTCACTACATTTGTGATTTCTTTTCTACAAGGAAAATCTTTTTTATGTTAATGGAGCTTGAAATCAGTGACTCAGAAAAATGTAACCAAAAAAAAAAAAAAACTGTGAAGGACTGGTGGCCTCTCCAGTATGTATCTGCCTTTGACGTACATCGATGTTGGAAATAAGTAATGAGCTCTTGAGTAAAAATAGCAGGACAAGAGTATAAAAACAAGTCTTGCATCCAAAATGTGTCTTAAAGTAGTCTTAAGTGAAAGAAGTAATGAAGTATAAAAAGCAAAGGTTCTCAGGCAGAGGGGCTTCTTCACGTTACTTTCATATATTTTGACATTATTAGCAACGCACCTACGTTGACCCCAGTGAACCCTTGAACCCTTTACCCTGCACAGCTCGGGGTCCTCACTGCTTCACCAGTTGTCGCATTCGATGTCACACACCGCTGCAGTTTTACTCGATGTCAGGGTGTTCCATTTCAAAGCTTCAAAGAGATGTCACTTGATTCATGTAAATATCAAAGATCTAAATGTGGCTGTAGTCCATGAATCTGGCAAATGGCTGGTGTTGCATCAAAGCGAGGCTGGAGTCTGGGTTTAACACAGGGACTAGTTAGCTGGCTTTTAAAAACCTTTATACTGACACGAGCCACCTGAACGCTCCACTAGGTCCGTGTGAGGATAGAGAGACGCGTTAGGGGAGATGTTGATGGTTCATCTGATACTTTTAACAGCAACATTTCTAACCTCTAATTTTCCATATATGTCGCAAAATTCTGCAATTTTAAACCAGTACACCAGGTGGCGCTGCAGAGGAGGGCAGACTCTTAGCTGGAACAGTTCACACTTTTTGTGAGGAAAGTCATGACATTTTTTTTGTGTGTGTCCTTTCACCACACAGCTTTATATCTTTTCTTGTTGCTAATTGTGCCATCCGGTCAGATTTTGTAGAAATGCAAGTTTGATTTCGTAGGTCATGCTATGCCAGCACCAATCTAACTGCTTTTCTTCATGAAAGTGCTAAACCTGTACATGTTTTTCAGTGCATCTTTATGTGTCCGGTCTGTCTGAAACCGTGTCTCAACACATCAAGGCGTCCTTCCATCCTCAACTGTAAATCCTGGAAGAATCAGTTTTGTGTCACTCGTCACTCTTTTCAAATAGCATTTTGAACTGATGTTGCAATATTATCTTTAAAAACTGCCTCCACAGTTTCAGTATGAGATTATGAAATAGATAGTTCTACGATATTTTCATGTCTGTGATTCCTGTAGATTGTCAGGCCCTTTTATACCGAGGAATGTCGTATGTTGATGGATAAAGGGCAGTATCTTTGTTATTTTTCTGTGCCTCCAACTAGACGTGACGTCCTCATGATGATTGTACACAAAACGGGGCCTGGTTCCCCAGAAATAACAGCACAACCCGAGCTGATATCTTGACCTGTCAGTGAGCCAGCTGCAGTTTGCATCTCAGAGGGAGAGTTTAGGATAAACGTGGTGCAAATGCAGCTCTTTTTTTTTTTGGGTTTTAAGTTATTAATGGAAGTATGATACTGACATGGAGAAAAAGAAAAAGAAAAAAAAAAAGAGCCAATTTTATTCTTGGAGAGCGCTCGTTTGTATGAGAACAGAAAAATCCTATCTGTAGTCTTGTGTAGTTTAGTTGTGGTTTGTTTGCTGTCGAGTTAACACAAACACAACCCAAATCAGTTCAGGTTAAAACCCAGACTTTTCTGTTCTTGTGTAAACGGAGCGTCCTCTCAGCTTCAGTGCGTTGCCGTCGTACCAGTTTCGATCCCGCATATTACACGAGGCCAGTGACGAGGCTGGACTTTGCAATAGTGAATGACTGTGCGTGTGTGTTGATCACAAAGCTTTGCAATACTGAAGTATTTCTGATTTTCTGACACATTTTAATGGCTGTAGATAAATCTAGATTTGCTGTGCTTATTGCTTTGTAAAAGAGCTTTTGCTTTTCGAGTATGTGGATTTTTTTCTGACCTGAAATATACTGTAGATTTTGCAAAATTTTATATCACACTGACATTGATATTGTTTTACTGTGAATAAGGTATTTCTAGAGCAATTTTAGCATGCCTACTTACAACTGTAATATATAGAACAACCTGTTTTCAGTAGTTAACGATATTGCATTTGGACTGACAAAGAACACAACAAACATTGATTTTATTTATTTTTTCATTGTGTATTTATGGATACTTTTACCTTCCATAAGTCATACGTTCATCTTAATTTTTTTTTTTTTGAAAAATATATATATATTTCTTTTCTCTTATTTAGAGCAGAAGGAACTGTCTTTTACATTCCTAAATAAAATGTGGACTGAAGCGCATTTTGTCCTCTTGACGGCCCCTGTGTTGTCGTCTTTTTGCCAACATTCACGTGTGCATTTAGTAGAACTGACTGTTGTCCTGTGATGTGACTGGGCAAGATTTCAATACCAGAACAAAACCCTCTGCTCAGATCGGTTTACATCATTATAATTGTTTCATGTCTCTTGAAGGATTTATATAATTTTTGAAAATTAAAAAAAAAAAAAAAAAAAAAAAAAACATAAAATGCCCTGCGGATAACCGGTAAAATCACTCTTGGCTGTTTTTCTTGCCATATTATGCAACTATAACAGCATAGACATTTCATAGAGTATTTGTGGATCTGGCATACCCCAACTTGTGTGTAAAGCTACATAACAGCAAAATGAGAGGAAAAGTGAAGTTATACTGCCCCCAAGTGTCTTTCACAGGTACTCACTGGTTTAACAGGTTTAACAAGTGCTGCTGTATGATTTAGGCACGACTAACATTCATAATAAAACATCCAGTACATTAGTTCTCATACAATACGACTGGGGAGACTTAACTCAACAAAGAAAAAAAAAAAAAATCAATTTACTGTTCCTGTGCAAATGCAGTTAGACAGCTCCTTCACGAAGAAAAAAAAAATCTTCTTTGCAATCATTTCTCAAATAATTGGTCCAAAAAAATCCTACAAAGTGGCTCAGTTTTCTAAAACCTAAAAGACAATGTCTTTGAATTACTTGTTTTGTCTAACCAACTGTCCAAACAAAGAAAAGCCAAAAACACTCGCAATTAAGACACTAGAACCATTGAATGTTTAACATTTTAGCTTTAAAACCGTTACTCCAAAGTAAAAGCAATGCAAAGAGAGGAATACTGCTGACTGATTACTGGCGCCGACTCGATGCCACTTCTCAGTGACTGCATTTGCACATCATGAACAGCAAATCCAGACGTTTCACAGCTAACTCCATGGCTCTCTGAAGACAAAAAAAAAAAAAAACAATTCTTCAGGCAATTTTCCCAAAACAGCGGAGTCCATGAAACAAACAGCAGCGGCATGAAAGACGGAAACCACATCTTCGGTATCTGTGCTAACATCTATGTTCCATCTTCCTCATCCCATCCATTCCAGCAGTTTTCATCATGATTTATCAAAGATCCACTCTGCGTCTGTCGCAAAGGAGGCCGTGCAACCGTTGAACTGTGTGAAAGTAAGCGCTACACAGGTCCTTTCTTGGCTCATTTTCCATCTTTCCAGCGTCCATCAATGAGAAGCAATATCATCCACATTACTATAAGCTCCTCAGAGATAAGCCTGATAAAGTCCACATGAGTTTGACGTTTCACACAGTGCAGACAATTACATGTTTTTGATACAATTGGAAGTAATATATCAGGTCACATATAGCGTGGGCTAAGGCTACAAGCTTTGTTTAATCCCAAATGCTTATAATTCAAAATATGAAATATCAGAATAATAAAAAAAAAAAAGTTATAAAATATGGCAGACTACAATTATGGTTAGACTTTGAGTCTTGCCGTGCCATGGTTATGGAAGGTTTATATGCCACTATGAGGAAGCATGGCTTTTGTCTCTCAGTACAGTGAAGCTGCACAAGCAGATGCTGATCTGGGGCCAGTTTTGCCGTCTGGTCCCAAGTCTGCAGGCAGAGTCAGCTTCACTCCCCCAAACCTCACGCAGTTGGACGTTTAGACGTTGTTTGGGGATTGGAGCTGTTGCTGCATGGTGGTCAGATCCTCGATCAGACGCTTGAAGGTGATCCTCCTGTCAGGCGCCTGCTCCCAGCACCTGCGCATCAGCTCGTACACCTGTCAAACATGGGCTCTGTTAGACTGCAGCTGGTAAAAATATCAAAGAATAAAGCTGAGCAGCAAAACAAATGACCTGGAGACGCAACAAGTGTTCAAAGCGCAGCAGCTTTGACTTCATCTGCTGTTTCTTCAAACAGGTTGCACATGGTCACATTCAAAGAGGTGTTTTGCATCTTAATGCTCAAACTTTAAAGCAAAAAATGTGCTCATGTACATTCTGGATTTTGCAAATTGATTTTTTTTAATGTTAAAACTCTCTGGGATCATTTTGATGTAAGATAACACAAAACTAAAGACTTTATCATCCCAAACACTGTAGGGATACCGGTACGACTAGCAACATTTCATGGGCAAGACTTTTCAGATTACAAACCTGACCTTAAGAATCCAGCAGTAATGCAGTGATTGAAATAACTCAGAGAACTCTGTAGTTAAAGTTTAACCTAATGACAGTCTGTTCAAACTACACTCATGTACAGCAGTTATTCTGATTTGTTAAGTGCTAAGTGGTGACAAAATTCATCTCTTTTGGCACCAAATGAAATGCTGGCCACTGTCCAAGCACCACTGGAATCTCCTGCAATAAGTGGGAAGCAGCGACACCTGCTGCTGAATTTCTCAATGAGTGTGGCATTAGAATAGCAGGTTCTGCCCGGCGCCAAATTTGGTAGATTTACAAAGGTAAGCTTGAGTTTGAGTTGGGACTTGAGGTGCAACGAAGATCACCTTAAAAGGCAGTGACATCGGTGGCAGATTTCAAAACTGCCCCGTCTAAAATGAAAGCCATGTTTTGATGAGGACAGTGTGTGATTTTGCTTTTCTCTGGTTCCTCTCTAACAAGATATGTTTTTTAATATTAGCCAGTTTCCATCCAAGTGTAGTGCAGAGTTTACATGAAATCTGCAAAAAAATACAAATTAAAAACAAACAAAAAAAAAAACACAAACAAAAAAAATCCCACAAATGAACATAGAAGTTCATATACTGGTAGTTTCATTCATTCTCCAGACAGGTGCCATTAAACTGATGCAGAAGACAAGCGTGCAATGAAATAACTGCCCAAAACTGTGTTAGAAAGAGCCTGATTTAGAGAAATTATTTAAGAAATGTTACTTGTCTGTACAGATGAAAACATCTAAGTCACACGTGTCTCATGATGCTGTACATCACTTATTGGATAAGTCTGTTTCCCTTGTTACATTGTAGCGTTTAATTTTCTCACATTGGTTAAGCTAAAACACTTAAATACTTTTTATGTGCAAATTGAACTTAAGAGCTGCGTTAATCAGCAAACGCACATGAAAAAAAAGCATTGAGCGTTTCTCCTGAGGTGTCATTGGTGTTGCCTTGTGCATTTGTTTTTTTTAATAAACAGAATTCTCCAGAACACATCTAAAAGAACCTCAGTAAATGACATTAATGTTTTGTAATGTGTTATGCTGCTAATGAGATTCTTACAGGCTCAGGACATCCCTCTGGACGCGGCAACCTCCTTCCTTCTTGCAACACCTTCACCAGTCGGATGATAGTCATCTGACCGTGAGTTCGACCAATCATATCCAGGAAACGCTGTGTGGGTGAAGACAAGGACGAGTTACAAAAGAAATATACATTATTCTGTACTGGCTTTGTTTCATTTAAATGAGAAACACATTAAATGAATCAAAGACAGTGTTGAACACAGATTTGTATAATTCATGACACGTAATCATCCATCCATCCATTATCTATACGTCGCTTAATCCTCACTAGGGCTGATAAAATTGATAAAATACCCTTTAATGGTCATTTAACCTGTGTGGGCTGAAGTAATAGTCGCCCTCCAGTAAGACTGACAGGTAAGTCTCAGTAACAGTGGCAGATTAAAGCCTGATGTAAATGAAAGATCTTCATGATAAACTACGCTCTTAGTGTTGGCACATGCTGCAGTTTGGAAAGCCCCTGGTGGAGTCTGTCGTCTGCTGCTCTGGCCGAAGACCAACACCATCTGCCACATACAAATGACTGTATGTGTAATGCTGTGATGAATTCAGTTATTTCTGCAAAACTGGTCAAGTATGTGTTATATACACACACATTTAATGTAGAATCATCAACCAAGCTTCCAAAAATAGACAGTAAGGACGAGACGTATTCCCCGATTTCCTGTGTGAGAGCGACTACAACAAGGAGAGTAATGAACACTGACCGTCATCGGGCTCTTGGACGAGTCGCAGTAGGTGATGAGTTCGTACATTGTCACCCCGAAGGACCAAACGTCTGAAGCCAGGTAAAACTTACACTGAGTCAGACATTCTGGAGCATACCTGAAACACAAAACAAGATGTCAGTGGAACTTCTTTTCATTTTTACATGCTATTATATTTTTAATGATTGTGTTAATGCGACTGTGCAAACTTGAATTTCACTTGATCGACAGTTCCTTCTTCAGTTATGGACAAACATAGAGTGTCGTGTTTTTGCTACTTTAGACATTTGAACTTGGGTCAAAAATTACACACAACATGCATACAACACAACATACATGTGCGTTTAATATATACCTACATATACACAGCATACACATATAGATGAATAAATACATAATATGTATAATAATATAATATGTTATACATTTGTACAGTTGTGAACAAAAGTCTACACTTCTAAAGACTGCATATATCATGGCAGTCTTGAGGTTCCAATGATTTCTATAAGTCTGAAATATATACGGCTTTGTCACAAAAAACTGTCATTTTGGTTCTTTCATAGATTTATTACAGATCTTCTAAAAAATATGAAAAATCTGCTGGGTACAAGTATTTGAATGATCACATTTGTCTTAATCTTCCCGAATGCAAAGTGTCTCTAAACACCAAGATGAATTTAGGAAACCAGCTAAGGCTCTGCAAACATTGTTTAAAATGTAAATATCTACTGTGTAATATAATTAGGATCACTGGTACTCACTGGTAAGTACTCCAGCACTTAATACAGACACATTTTCGGATCATTTGCTTCAAACTACTCCACCCTTGACTCGTACTCCCTCTCTGTTTATAGTCTAATTCTCTGTCATTCACTGTTTTACCTGGTTGGTCCTTGAAGCTGATTTCCTTGACAACTGACACCAGAGCCAATTTATTGCTAAAAAGAATTTAAATTTATCGTCTGTACGATGAAAAAGACTTTTTAATGAAATTTCTTTCTTGAATGGATCACCATTTTTCCATATTTCCCCCATCAACTCAATTCATATGCTGTCCGTCTGTAATTAATTCTCTTCTGGTGCCTACTATTATATTTATTATCCTATCCCCTTTCCATTCTCATATTCTGTTTAAAGTCTCCCTCTTTAAACAATAAGATCTCAGCTATAAGGTCAATTGTAAGAGAACATAATTTATATTGCTTTTTTAGCTTTCAGCTTTCTCGCCTTATGACTCACCAGAAAACAGGGCTGTCGTGGTCATCCTTGACGGTATAATAACCCTCATTGTCCTTGATGGTCTTGGTGAGACCAAAGTCTCCGATCTTCACTGTCCTCTCATTCTCCACTAACACATTTCGGGCAGCCAGGTCCCGGTGGATGTAATGCTGAGATCCCAAATAGTCCATTCCCTGAAATAAATAAACAGTGAAATCTTTGGCAGGTTCAGAGTGACTGAAATCTCAGACGACAGTTCTGTACAAAGAAGACGTGTTACCCTGCATATCTGGACAGAGTAGCTGAGCAGGGTGCTGAGGCTGGTCTTGCATTTGTTTCTGGGTAGATACTCCTTCAAACTGCCCATTGGAAGATACTCCATGATCAGCTTAATAGCCTGACCACCTACAAACAAATACAAACAAATGAAGTCAGAGACAGATAGCCAAGTCATCATTAATGATCATCTTTACATGTGAATCCTGGTTTGTGCCACTCATTTGTTTCCATTATAGCTAACTCACAGAACTCAGATTTTATGCAAAACAATTACCCCCCCCCAAAAAAAAAAAAACAGTTGAAACTCAAGCCATGTCTGAAGGTAACTTCAGAATCTTACAACAGCACTTTAACAAAACTATGCCAATTCTTCAAGTTTACCTTAAGCTGCGCCTATACGTTATGCAAACATGGTAGTCAGAAGTGACATATGGCCTTTGCTTATTGGGCACAGTGTAGCCCAAAATTACACTTTGCATTATCAGACACTTTCAAATGTTTCCAGTGTTCTGAAAGAGTCTCTGAGGAATGTGGAAGCACCTTTTAAGTCAGCAGTAAGTGTTATAAAAGCTGTAGTTTTTAAAGATCAGCAGGTAATTACTTCAGGAAAACTGGATGTTCAAGTCTGCGGCTCGGATTTAATGGCAGTACGTGAGAGGCACTAAGTGGTCTTCTGTCCAGTTAATCTGTGCTTGTTTGGGTTTGAGTGTATAACACTGGATTCATGGGAAATCCAATGCCTGTCTGTACTTTCAGCATTTAACTTAAATATACTGAAGTACATAAAGTAACACTTTGCTCTTACATGTAGTTTCATTAGAAGCAACTTCGTCTAAAATGTAAATGTGTATTTTTTTCAACACACAATAGACTTTCATGCATCTTCATCTGTACAGGTGTATAGTAGTGTTTGTGTGCATGTCTGTGTCTGTATTCCCTCCGTCTTACCTTCCTCTTGGCAGATACCCTTGTATTTCACAATATTTTCATGGTAGAGTTCCTTCAGGATTTCAATCTCACTGGAGAGGTTACTGCTCTGCTCTTCTTGGTTCTCAGGCTTGAGCGACTTCACTGCCACCAGCTCGCCTGTTCTGTCGCCCCGTGGATCATAACGACACAACTCCACCTTGCCAAAGTGACCCTTCATGAGAGACAAAAATTTAAATTATTGGAAATGCACTTTGACTGCTTCCTGTTCAATGGTTTCAGTTCAGTTCTGATCCTCCCTATATTTGGTTTGTGAACAAAAATATCAGCTGAGTCAGGGTTAGGGTTAGGGCTAGCTTGTTTCTAAGGCAGAAACATGGGAATAAATATACATACAGGTGATATTCTTTGATAATTGTAAGCTTATGTGAATTACACAATAAATACTCCTAATCATCAGAAAAATGGCAAATACACTGAAGGAAAATGCAGATTTCTTTTTCTTTTTTTCTTTTTTTTTTTTGAAAAATCAAAAAATGCTTGGTAATGCCAGGGCATTTTGTGCATCTGTTTGATAATTGGTATTAACATTAGGATCTGTTAAACTGAAATCAACACAAAATCATGAAACAGCAAAAACAGCAACAGTTTACCTCTCCCAGTTCTCTGATCTTTCTCAGGAATCTCTTTTCAAACATGGTTGGGTCCACCTCTGGTGTAGGCTGGGGTTTGATAGATGGGTCTGGAAGATAGAAGAAGAAATAAACATATCAAGCATGCTGGGTAAAACATGGCTTTTCTTCAAAATAAACACACTTGCGTCATAGGAAGTCTATTGTGGTTGACAGTGTCAAAGTGTTTACGACAATGTTCTATGGTTATGTAACTGTTTTCTTGCTGTGGTTTTCACACAAATGGCTACTTTTAGTCGTACAATTTGATATTCAAGCAAAAAACTCATTCTGCATCACCAATATCAATTATAAAATACTGACCGCACATAAACATTGTTTTTAATCTGATTCTATGCCTTTCAGGTGCTTGTGGAACTTGAGGTAGATTGATACTGGTACTACGGTGATTGTGTAGCCCTCTTTGGTATTTTAATCGAAGAAGATCCAGCTTCTTACTAAACTTTGCTTAATAAGATTGGCTGCAGTATCCAGATCTGGCCAGCAGGTGGAAGAACTGAGTGTAATCTGTTGCAGTGGGGCCCAGCTGAGGGGCAGATCAGTGATAATGCACCCAGTGAACTTCCTCATGAACATCTGAGTTGAGTAAACAACTTTCTCTCTTTACAAGGCTGCTGCCAGGTGAGATACAAACCATGCATAACATTCAGGTCATATTGCAACTTTAAACAGCAAGAAACCTGTATATTTTTAAAATTGCTGTAAAGTGTTGCGCAATTCTATTTTACTGGCTTAAATTTTTTATATTTTTTCAATTCTAAGATGCCAAAAGGCAAAAAGGCTTGCCACAATGGCAATAAAACTGCTGACACCAAACGCTTTCTGAGGTTTTGCTTCACATGTGGAGCCTCTTCATTATAATTCTACGTAAATACCGTATATAAAATGTGCACTGCAGGTATTCTCTTTACACATACTTTTCTCTTCCAGCATGTCTATGTCTCTGACGATAGCCCTGAAGAAAGGTCTCTTCTTGGGGTCGTAGTTCATGCAGTGGGTCATGAGTTCAGCCAGCTCTTTGCAGTCTGGTGTGGCCAGTTGGCACTCTGTTTCATAAAACCTCTCCTTCTGCTCAGAAGAGAGACATGAAAACAAACATATGAATAAGAGGATGCATGAAAACAGAGGTAATCTGACTGTTGGTATGGATAGACACAGGTGGTTAAAAAAAAAGGTTTGACAGGTATGGAAATGAACTAGGAATTAGTTGTCAGATTTGAAACAAAGGAGGACATTAGTTTGGTTGTATGTATGATTATATGCAGTTGTTAGCGCTTGTGTGCGTCCTCTACCTCAGTGAGTTTCTTGTCCTTGAGGGGAGTCTCTCCATCGTAGCAGATCTCCCACAGGGTGGTACCAAATCCCCATTTGTCGGCTGCGACACTCAGGGCGGACACACTCTTCACACACTCTGGAGCGATCCACGGGATACGATGCACACACTCTGCAAACACAAAAATGAAATGCTGATCAGCCCACTTAGAAAATAATGTTCTGATGCCCTGGAAAACAAGTGACGTACCTGGAATACTCTAACCTAACTCTCAACAATAGCTTCAAAGGCAAATCTTGTCTCTTGTGATAATGGGAGTCATACAGACTAAACCTTTTAAACAAGCATTAGCAACATGCATCCACTGACAGTCTTCCTGAAATGTCAAGTGAAAACATATATTACAACCACATCAACTGTATCCTCGTCAACATTTATATTTCTAAGTTTGTGGTTGATGTCAGGGCTTGCCCCCGGAAGTAGATCGACTTCTTCTTTGAGCCATAATCTTCATTTTTGTTATACATTATTTTCTTTATATTTGTCATCTATTTCATGTCTGTTTCCTGTTTTTGTTAGTAGGTTTTTAATGTTTTTCTTCCTTTCTTTCCTCACTGATATGTCCTGCGTCTAGGTGTTGACCATAACAGACTGCAAAGCTTTTGGGCTATCTATACATAAGTGGCTTGACCTCAACATGTCTATTTTATATTTATATTTCACGCTGGACATCACAGACCAATCACCAGCATATATTCTGTATGTTAAATAAATTACTAAACAAAACTTTATATTTGTAAGAGCAGAAATATGATAGTCAGAAACCAGATGCTGACAAGAGTTCTACACTGTAAAAACAAATCTCAGGGCGTGACCTCATAGATTGGTGCCAACATACTCCCAATACTAAGAATCAACAATAAAATACAAAGCAGCTCCAACAGGCTGGCTGGGCTGGTAGCTGGCTTAAAATGTTGACTAACTGCCTCCATCGAATTCTAAAAGGACTGGCATCAGCTTACAGAAATAAATCACTGACTGGAAGACGGACTAACTGATGGGCTGACCTTCATGGTCTCGCTACAAATCCATAACATCAGATGAGGGATGCATGTTAGTAAGCAGCAAGGGAGTAAAGAGGGCAAGAAACTGTGGGGGAGTTAAATAGAGATAGTAATGGGAGCAGGAGAGGAGATAATTGAGTGTAAGGACAAAAGAGAGGAAAAAAAATTAGTGAAAGAGAATAATAGATTTGAGGGTTTGAGTAAAGCGCTCTAAGATTGCTGGGAAGCAGGGAAGAGTTTTCCCAGTGGGGTTTTGAGCACTTTATGCACTATGTTCAATCAAATCTATGCACAAGGACATCAATATATAACAGGAAGACTGGTTGATCAGCAAAGTAATGGAGACAGAACAAGAAATGTTGAAGAGTTCTGAAAACAAAAAGCGAGGGAGGAGTATTCCCAGGGGCATGTGGCGATGGACATGTGCACAGAAACATTTCCAGTCTGTCCTGTGGTTTGTCGATCCATCTGCACAGAGACGATCCATCTGAGACGGAAATGTACCCACTGCAGTGTGTACCGATTATGTGACAAATATGATTCCTGTTACTGACAACCTCCGCTTGATCGGAAATGTTATTTTTGTTAGTTTTTTTCTGTATCGTGTGGGAAGAAAATGCAGGAATATAAGGTAGCTTTTAAGCAAAAAGGGGGGGAAAGTAGCTACTACTTTACAGTTAAAAGAAGCAGGAAGCATATTCTAAAAATTATTCATGTCTCAGGCACACCACCAATCAACATGTGTTACCAGTCAGTTAAAAGTAAATTGTTTTACACATTTAATTAAGTTGTAAATACATTTTAAAAACACTGTATGTATATGTATATGTGGAGCTCTGCCTAAAAATGTATTTAATTGTGGTTTAGCTTCACTACTAGATCAAGTTGGAAGATTGCTTGTTTTCTCATTTTGGTTTTACTTTCCATTGCAGATAACTGGGAAAGAAAGCGGAAGGTATTGTGAAATTTTCCATGCTAGCTATTTTGTAACCACTTAGGTTGCGTTTTTACACATCTCAAGTGGCATCTGTACTCTGTACACACCCTCCCTGGTGAGTACTGTGATTGGTATTCCTCGGTCGCTGAGCTTGATGAAGGGCCCTCCTTCATCTGCACCCAGTCCGTCCCGGGCCAGCAGGATGTTCTTAGCGGACACAAAGCCATGGATCAGCTTTTTGTCCTCCTACAGCACACATACACATACACACACACACATACACACACACAATACAGAGGAAAAAAAAAATCCCCACAATGAAGAAGGTACATTTTCACATTTTGTTGATGAAACTAATCTAATATTGTCTAGACTGTCCAGAGGCTGAATACAAGTTTGTGTGTAGTACATGTGTGTGTGTGTGTGTTTTCCATTCTTACCAAGTAGCTGAGAGCTGAGGCCAGCTGCTTGGCCACCTGGAACTTCCATGGCGTGCTGAGTGGACTCTGCTGTCTCCTCATAAACAAGTCCAGTGGTCCTAGTTGGACAAACTCCTCCACCATGATATCTTATGATACAAAGAGACAAAGTTGAGGCATACCACCACACCCCTATACACACCTGCAAACACGCAGCTCTTTATATACACTCACTTTCCAGGTGGCGGACACACACTCCGTGGAGTAGCACAATGTGTTTATGGGACACTTGCCGCATCATACTGGCTGTTTCAAAGAAGGCCTGTCAACAGAAAGACAAAGATGAGCCAACACATACACAGCAGATTCCATAGATGTTCTCAGAATAGTTAATGTTGAAAAGCTTGCAGCTAATGAGTATGAATATGGTTAGATATAACAGAATGGATGTCCTCATAAGAAGAATTGTACAAGGGATGTTCCTGTTACAAGTTTGGGTCTTACCAGGGAGATGTCCCTGTGTCCAGAACCCAGCACCTTCAGGACAACTTTGACTTCCTGGAAGGATGAGTAACCTACATCTTCTTCCTCCTCACTCTTCACTTTCAGTATGCCGGAGTAGATGTTGGTTTTAGTTCCCAGGCCGAGGTGCTCTTCCTGGTTAACACAGCAGAGAGCCATGAAAAAAACAGCTATACAGAAAGTAGTTACATTCAGTGTTGAAACTTTGGACACAACAATGAGGCTTATTTACAAATTCCAGTTGCATAGGCCTTAGGAGTATATTGATATTCAGGCAATTCATTTTCTCCTACACACTATGTAAATTACAACAACACTAAATCGTTTCTTAAGGGTGTAATCTGTGTGAATTCCTCACAGGGATTTCTGGGGAGGAAGTAACTTCATAACTGTGATATAGGTTACAATTTCTACAATATCGTTTAGCAGATGCTTTTATCCAAAGTGATAAAATGTAAAAATGTTTTAGCTTGTGTGTGGACTAAGCTCTGTTATGTTTGGAGCCAGTACTTTGTGGTAATCATACACAAGACTGTAGTGTAATTAAAGTGTCTCTAATACTTTGTACATTTACATATATAACAACACCGGAAGCTTAAACTATATTGTACAAAATACATGAACAATTATTGAAAATTTTGTAATACGCCATGTGGATCTACATTGTCATTATTTGTTTTAGCTACATTTGTATAACCACATTACTAAACTGTACCACAGGATACAGACATGGACAAGAGAAAGCGTACCTGTTCAATCTCCTCCTTGAGAATGCGGTGGAAGCTAAGTTGACTGTCCTGCATGTGTGTCTGAGGGACTGGTGCTCTGTCCTTAGTGACCACCAGCAGGTTAGAAATCTCTGTAGCATAAACAAAAAGGGAGTTATTGTTTTGGAATGGAAATTGAGCGAGGAAATTAAAATTAATCAAGAATGGTTAGAGTTTTAGATAATCAGTCGCTAAAAGTTTGTCTTATACAATTCCTCACAAAACAGCTCACATCTGCCTGCACTATTGCCAAGGTGACGTTATTGTAATACTGTCAAAATTGCAGACTGATTTGAAAAGGCTGCGCTGCATTCAGACAACAACAATAAGCTGAAATGATGCTCACAGCAAGGTGAAGTAACTTTCACAGCATACAAGAATAGTACAAATGTTCAGATGCACATATGTGCACTGGCTTGCTACATGAAAGCAGAACTGTGTTTACATGTGGTAAAACGAGCTCTCAACAATTACGTCAATGTGGCAATATACAGATATTCAGGTCCGGTTACCATACTGATTCAGTTTATTTTTTGTATATGCAGAGTCGTGTGTGTGGGAGGATCAAGTGAAAATGTGTCTTTGTGCCTGTTACCATACTATGCGTGAGCGTTTGCCTGTGTTGTGGATGTCTAAGGTTATGACAAAACCAGCGCTGTGGTTTGGAGGAAAAAAAGTCTCTGCACGCCATCAGCATCACGTCAAAGAGCGTTAAGAGCTCTGCTCCGTAACATGTAATGCATGTTACACTGCACTCACTCTTTAACCCTTTGGCCTAATCCAGGCCTCACTGTAGCAAAAACATACCTCGTCACTTATAAACATGGTTTTCCCTCAACCTGACATTATGTTATTTTCAGAATAAATAAATACATAGACCCAAAAACAACAATGAGTAAAAGTAAACAGTTTCATATTGTCAGGAAGTGGGCATACAAATATATTCTCGGTGTAGCAAGAATGTTATATAATACATCATAAATATCATAGAAGGATAACAACACAGCACTCCAGTCTTTTATCTCCCTCTAGAGCAGATCTAACCCAAAACACCTATGCATTATGATAATAATCAGCACCACACAACCCTAAACAAGCAGCTCAACACATCCATGCACACATGCAAACATAGCTCCACCTTTCCCCAAGTGAAGTAAACAGAAGAGTGCTTCTTTGGCTCCGCAAACCCACATTTACTACTCTCTTCCTCCCTGACACCATTTCAGAAACGCAGACACACACGTTGTTCGTGCCAGCACTTCTTCCCTTACCCCTCAGTCAGTGACACACATTAACTTAAAGAGCAATTTTTATACAGGGAAAGCATTTCTTCGCTGAGCTTTATAGGCTGAAAGATTCGAGTCTGTTGCACTTCTGACCCCATATAATGTGCAGTGTGTTGGACTTGTTACCACACCCAGCCATGATCTAGCTTTGTGCAAAGTAGGGCAGAGTCAAATGTTGTGTTGTATAGGGTGTGGATTCAAGCTGCAGCGACTGCTAGACGGCAAAGCAGGCAGAATTTTCAGCCTTCTGTAGCAACTATCCATTTTAAAAATAGACATAACACTGGCTCTGAGGAATATGTTTTTTTCATAATCATAATAGACTCCTCGTGTTGAAGTAATCAAGGGTGCATGTTGCCAGACAGTCATGAAATATTTCCTATGTACATTTTCAATATTTATTCATCAAAATACTTGCTGTGAACCAGTAAAATGACGTAAAAGTGAATCTGTGTGAGGCTTTCCAAATCTTTTTTTTTTACTGCAGGCCAAGTGTTAATCCATCTGCTCTAGCTAGATAACATGACAAAGCACAAAAGCTCCCAACAGATAAGTGATGTTAACTTACAAAGTACATATTTGCTAAATTCTCAGTCAGACTGGTTTGATCTCTATTTCACACTTCTTGTAAAATTTTTTAATCACATCTTTTAAATGTCTTTTCACCAGAAAACAGAAGCTGACTAACATAAAGTGGTTTTCTCCCTGGAGTCAAAATGATCTCTCACCTTCCATCTGAGTTGGCAACACCGTAACCAACACATTGATCTTTGCATGCGTAATATGTATGTCTATAAACTCTATTGTTGCTATGAAGTATTGTGAAATATGTCTAATTTGGAACACAGTTGAGCTTTCTACACTTTTTTATGTTGCTGGATTAGTATATGCTTTACCTTTGCTACATTTTTTTCTAGTCTATTTCTAGTCTTGTCTAAGTTAGTAAAACTGTGTGCTTCTTTTTGTTGGGGTACGACTGTGAATGTTTCTGATAAGTTGTTAATTTATTCCAAGTCTGTAGCTGCCTTAACTTTACCTCTTGGCTGTGGGGGGCAGCAGCGGAGCAGTTGGAACTGGAGGTTGTCGGTACGGAGATTTTGGCCCTCCAGGTGGCACAGCAGCTCCTTGAGAGTCGGACGCAACGTCTCGGTGCCGTACAGACGGAACCCATCGGCGGCAACTTCAATCTGGAAGTTCTTATACTGGCGCACAGTACGAGACTCCCTCAAGTCGATCTGGATGGAGCAAGAGGGACAGTTTGTAACTGGCCGAGATTCTTTCATTTTTTCCATCATGTACACTTAAAACACAAAATTCCACATAAGATATACGTTACAATATATAAACATCACATACAGATATTATGATTAAAGCAGGGAGAAGTAAAATATTATATTAACTACTACCTTAAAAAAATTACAAAAATAAGGAAGATGATGATGATGCTTTTTTTTTCTTTTTTTTTAACTTTTACATACTTCTGTTAAAGCTCTGTAGACACACATAAACCACCAAAATCTATTGCTATGAACTCACATTTAGAACAACATTTACTGTAAATGGTTGCTATTTATCCAAGACCCGGTAGGTCAGCTGGGTGAGCATGGTTGTAATGAGTGGATGTTTACTCCCATGCTGACTCACAATGCTGTCATGACCTGTCATGATCTCAGCTTCCTGTGATCTGCTATAAAATGAACTGATAGCATACTGTTCACTGCATCTCTGTGCCCGTTTGTCATGTCCTCTTGTTAGTGAAAACCTAAACAAGGGTTGTCCAGTTGATCCCTGAGATGCCACTACCACCGTTTGACCTAATAATACAGGGTTTATTCACATCACATTCACTACAACCAGAAAACACTGAACCGTTCACAGACCCATCTGCGGATGTGACACTATGAGGACAGAATGCATCCACTTGCATCAATAAGCCATGGATATATATGCCCCTGTCGCCAGGTAACTGTCTATCCTTCCTTAGATCTATTTTGGTAGGTACTAACCACTGCACACCAGGAACACCCCACAAGACCTGCTGTTTTGGAGAAGCTCCAATCTTAATTTCTGCCCATTTGTCCTGCTTCCAACACTTAATTTCCTAATGCATCCCATTCTTTATGACGTGCCAATATGACCAGATAACCAATGTTATTCATTCCACCTGTCAAGTGGTTTCTGACTGCTCTAACAACACTGACAAGATTTATTCTACTAACAGGTGTAACAGCAAGACTTTACAAATTATTAGGCAATGTTGTAGCAGTGACATATACTTCCTTACAGTTTTCTGGAGTTCAACAAATAAGCAGTAATTACAAAACAATTTGCGGGGCTGATCATTATATTCTCAACTAATTTGATTTTGGGGACACATGAAATGCAACTTCCTACCATTTAATTAACAAGTATACACTACCTCATTGCAGACCACAGTAATGATGATGTACTGGTAATCAGTACAGCTCCAGCGCAGGATGTAAGCGCCCTCCTCGTTGCCTTCCTGACGGAGCTTGTGGATGGCATACTCCGTACTGGAGAAGGAAAAACATAACACATAAGGTTAGTCTTATTAAAACTAGGCTGAAGATGTCAACTTTATCACAGCTAGTATCAGTACTATATTATGAGGATGCTTTTTTTTTACTTGTAGTCCTTGCTGGTTTTTAAAATATTTTTTTATACATTGGTGACAAAAATAGGTTTTAAGGGTTATTAAAATAATCTATTATTGATTCATTTTGAGTTGATAAAACTTCTTAAAAATGGAAACTATCAAAAAATCAAACAATATAAAAGATGCAAACACAGAACATCAGAGGCAAACAGATGTTTGTTTGGCAACTGCATTGACATGCTAGAAACCGAAAACATTTGAACAGACCTCAACTTATTATACAGAGGATGACTATAAAAAGTGTACGTATCTAAACAGAGGGAGGTAGGAGACAGTCAGGGTGTATTCAAATACAGATAACAGGTGGCTTATCATGCATGTGTTTAACACAACTGCATGTGTCCAGTAACACATTGCTTTGTGAGAAAATAAAAATATGCTTAGACACACACACATTCCACCAATAAAACTGCCAGTACAAACCAGATGGGTCCGTGGCAACCGTTGTTGGTGTTCTGCACCACTGATGCTGGGGCTACCTCCTTGCACAGGTAGTGGTGGGCATCCACTGTCAACCTGAAGTACCCGTCCACAAGGGCTGCAAAGGACAGGGCCTCAGCCCGAGAATCCATTTGCATCTCCTGAAAAGAGACGACATAACAGAAGAGAGATAAAGACGAGTAAAAAAGTGAGCAGGGAGTCAGGAGCAGTGACTATTACAAACACTCAACTATGATGTACTGCAACCTCAAAATGCACTTTTACAGTGGTGCATGACTCAGCAATAGTAATAACCAGAATCATGCAGCAAAAGGGAAGCTTTACTCCTCCAGGTCTTAAATCAACAAATGTTGCCGCTATGATTACTATGGTTAACATGGATTTCTGAGCCACACAAATTTTGCACAAGAAATAATTTTTAAATTGTTCAAACACTTAAAATCCTTTAGTGGAATAAAGTTTGCAAATTCAGGTTGTAATAATAAATGAATCAATAAAATCCTAAGCAGGTTTCAGAACAAAAATGTAAAGATGTTTTCGATATTCAGAGAACGTTTAAGAATTTTCAACATAAATAGTTTGTTTACAGCTTCTGTCTTAATGTGACATTACTTTGCTATTTTGTAAATGGCTTCTGTTCAAACTAAATATATGAAGTTACAGTTATGGTAATTAAAAACAGATTGAAGTCCTATAAAAATATATATATGTCCCACAGACAACACAGTACCCTTTGCTTTGTTTGTATGTTTGTCTCACCATCTTCTTGTTGTCCTGTGTGAGGATGGTGACTGTTGCCTCTCTGATGACAACGTGAGTGATCTCATGAAAGTCACAGAGCAGCACCCAGCCTTCGTTTGCCTCTTTATTTCTGTCATTTTTCAGTTTTCCATCCTGCTTGTTCTTCTTTGACCTTCCCTTTTCTTTGGAGATCCCAGATGTCTGTTTTAAGAGATAAAGCAGAAATATAGAAGATATTTACACACAAGCCATGAAAGAAAAAAAAAATCTGTATTTTCAAACACTGTCAGCTAATATAGGCTAATGGAAAATACTGCAGTGAACTTCACGGGGTTTGTCTTAAAATAAATGGAATACTATGATATTTTTTGGAGAAATGTTTCCAACTAGCATTCAATATTTAAAATAACCAGAACAAATTGACTTAGTTTTTCTTTCCAATCCTGTAAAATATTCCGATAACGATGTAAAACCTAACAGGTAAGAGATCTACCTGCCAGATTTCTGTTTCGACCACTTTACCATCCCGAAACTAGAGGCCTTTAAAGTTTTGTTCACCCACAGTCTCACTTACCGTAACAGGTTTCTTCCTCCAGGAAATACCAGTGGTACCAGTAACCAGGACCTGCATGTCATGGCTTGTCTCCATGTTCTGAGTCTGGCTCTGCCCTTGGCTCTGGTTGTAGTACCCTGGAAACAGAAAGTAGACATATTCCAGTAGTTCAACAGAGACGGGAAATTTTACACACAGTATTGAAAAAAAAATTACATTTGTTTGGCTTCTCGATATAGTTTTTGAAAAATCTTGCAGTGACTGCGCAATACGAAGGGAAGCCTGGAAAAAATGTTATTAACTATAGCTATTGTGACGTTAACCAGGTTAGAGAAACCATTTAGATCTGTATCAGTGCTTGAAAACTTCATGATTCGAGAAATACAATGTTTGTCTGCTCTGTGAAGAGTGGGTTAATGTGACATGTAAACATCTTCTTCCTTTCACTTTTGGTTTTTACCAACGTGAACAAACTCACAGTGTGTTAGGTATATTTAGATGTCAACAGAGTGCAAACCTTCTTTTTTCTGTTTGGAACTGTGGGTGGGACACCACAGATGCTCTGCATGTAAACATACCAAAGCAACCACTATCAAAAAATCCTTATACGCAAATACACATCCAGTGTAGTTAAAATACTGCAGCAGGACCAAAAACACAAACTGTTATCTCATTTTTTGTGTTTGAGTATCAGTTGTACTTTTTGTGTAGCCATTTTTGACCTTTCCCACTGTCTTTGCGTTCCTCTATTCCCACAGGGATTCTGTTGGTAAACAGCAGTTCTCTTTTTATAGTCAATATAATCTTCTGTAGTTCTCATTAAACTACATCACATACCACAACCCACACTGAGCTGTTGCACGCCACAAACCTGGCACATTGCCTGAGAACTTCCGGATTTCTTACCAAAGTAACCTCCATTGCAGAGCTCCCCCTCTTGCATTACACTGAGTGAGATGGGCTCAAGTATTTCGCTGCCCAGGCTGTTGGTCAAGCCCTCCAATGTGGCCAGGTACTTGATCTTCAGGTCGTACGGTGTAATGTTGCTGTCCTGGACTGTGCGATTGTTGAATTCATTGAGGAATTTCTTGAACACATTGTTGATGCGGATGCGAGTCAAAAAGTTCCGTTGCTTAATGTTGCGGTTCAGCGACTCTGGGATGAATCGTTTGTAGCTGAGGGGATTAAGAAAGAAATACAAATAAACTTTTATTTTTAAATATATGAACTCTTCCATACAATACTTCATGGGCTTTGGTATACATACACTTCAAATGTGGGAAATGGTTATGAAGTAAAGGACAAGCACAAGAGTGTGAGGCATAGTTAAAAACTGTGTTATTGGAAGCATCATCTGTATATGAATGTGTACAGAATCTATCCTAAAACTTATTCAAATAAACTCAAGCACATGCTGCATTTTGTATGCGTGTGCACGTGTTACCTGACTTCACGCGAAGCAGTGGAGAGTGGCATCTCCAGAATCATGGCATAGTGAGTGATGGCGAGCACAGCCATGCCCAAACACTCATTTTCTATCTCGTGTTGCTCTGCCTCTGACTGGGACGTCCTCAGTGGAACCATGCCTATCTGAAAGTCATGCTGGCCCTGTGCAACAAGTCACATCAGTCAAATCACAAACACACCAAAAACATACGAACATAAACATCTATAAAGGACTCCACTGAAATAGGCCTTGTACATAGTGCATTCTTTACATGACATATAGGATAAACTGATTAAATTAAGCAGCAGAGGGACTTTCTTTTGTTCTTTTGGCATTTACAGGAGATTCCGGTTTCTTAAATTTTGAACAACTAACGATTCAGTGAAGTTATTGTCTGTGTTTGGGAACCATCGAGTCAGCCTTTTGATATCAACAACAAGAATTCTATTTGATTGAACAGATGTAAGTTACTGCTATCTGTCGCTGACTTTAAAGGTGCTCTTCCTGATACTGTTACATGTTACCCTCTGACGATGCAGGAGCTTTAAAGGATAAAATTCACTTACTCACAATACTTTCAAATGCATAAAAATGAGAACTGCAGTTAGGTCAGGCTTTTTAGGTGATCTGCACAAATACAGTCTTGGCATAGGTAACAATGAGAGAGCAATGCCTATGAACAGAATATGAAAATGACATCCTTAGTAACTGACTGCGAACACATACCTGCGCAAACAGGTAGTCCAGTGAAGCAGCATCCAGTAGGGGTGTTCCCTCTGGTGTTTTCTGTGGGCTGTGTCCTCCTCTAAGTTTACTGATGCAGTGTCTCCAAACTGGTGACTCTCCTTCAGTGGTGCCATGCCAGTTCCTGAAATAAAACCTGACAGGAGAGAAACACAAGATAGGTCAACATGATAAGCACGAGGGTGTGCATGCAAATAAGATTGCCTTTTATTATTCAGTTATTTTTATGTCGAAAGAATGTCAGAAAAGTGCTGTATTCCTGAGTGAAAAAAATAGGAAAATCCCGGCAGATTAAATAAAATGCTCAACTAATGAGCATGCATGTAGTGAAAGAACTGGTGAAATTTAAACTCCTATAAAATGGATTACCATTACAGTTTTGATAGTGATGGACTCCAGACAGTGTATGGTTTGTTTTTTTTCCTCCTGCTCTTATTTTTATTTTGTCCAATTTTGCAAATGTTGGCATGCTAGCAGACTAAAATAAGATGTTAAACATGGTAAGCATTTACCCGCAACATCAGCATGGCAATTGCTACTGTAAGCATGCTGACAATAGCAGCCAGCTAAAAGAGGTTGTGTCTAAGTATAGCCTCACAGATCAGCAAGTGTGGCTACCTGACCTGATGGAAATCCATCCAGGTGGCGTTTTAATCCCTGTTTGCACAGCTGGGTTGAAAATTTGTTAACGCTAAAAACCATGTATATCAAGACTCGACCACAATATCCCGCTTGTTTAGCTGTCTGCACTTCAGTACGCAAAGCAGGCTGCAGCAGGCGCACACACACACACACACACACAGACACACAAACACACACACCACAGTTAGCCGCTATGCACACTCAAATCTCTCTCCACCTGCTATTGTCAAAACAGAGCACGGAGAAAGAGGAAGTGTAATAGATACCACAGTAATGTTGTTTTCCTCTTTGCAGAAATGCTACCTAACAAGTACAATGGATTCTCTGAGAGGGGACTGAACTCTCTTCAACACTATCCACTTAATACAAACATGACATTGCTGGCCTGTCATGTGAAAACTTTCTCTGAAATAATTTTTCCCCAAAAATATGTTTTTAATGAGAAATTTAGTCTTGCCACTGAGTCAGGTCTGAAGTTTGACTCTACTCTTGGAAACACATAAAAGGGTTGACAGACATCAGCAACACTGCTTGCTGTTCCTATTCTAAGTGCCTTGTATGCCTATTCTGAGATTAGGCTTGTTCATGAACAAAGTTTCATCTCCGGTAACCTTGATCTTTTTCTGAATCCCAACGGCTGAGATATGTTCGGCTTCTTTCCCTCCGTTTTTTTTTTTTAAATACTAAGCCACAGATCTTGACATATCAAGACTCTCCTCTCAGTATTAGGTTCAAATTACTCCAGCACCTGGGGTCACAATACTACATCGTCTCTGCAAAAGCAGGACTGCCATCCAGAAATCATCAAACCAGAAACTCAACATCAACCATTCTCATCCTAGTTTTTGGCATATCATCCACATTGTCATTCAAGTCCTCTGGCAGAGAGACGTCCACTATGAGACTCTACATCCTAGCAGCCAGTTTGTACAGCCAGGAGTATATGTGCCAGGATTTCCGACTTCACTTACTGTCCAACTGGAAATTTAGACATCCCAGCACCTAATGCTGTGGGTTGGATGTAGGGGCTCGACTGGGCTTTCTGGGTATATGCCCAGCCAAGCCATAACCAATCATACTGGCTAATGCTCAGGAGAGCAGACTCAGGAGAGGTTCCCAGTATCACCATTCTGTACAAAATGTGTTTCAATGTAAGAAACACTTTTATGAAGACTAGTAGGAGTTAGAAAATCCTAATATTTAACTTCAGCGTAGATAGCCAAAGCTGGACATCATTCTTACCTCATGCGATAGTGCAGCTTGATACTGGTATTTTCTGTGATCTTGAACTCATAGTTGGGGGGATACCAGGTGCCAGTTTTCTCATTGTACAGGGCGAATAGGTTATGGCACAAGGGAGAGATTGCTGAGAAACAGAAAAGAAAAGCGGAAAAAAGATCAATATTTAGACCATTAGAATCATTACATTAGAACAGAGGCCATTTGTAGCCTGTCCAAAGAGAGCATTTAAAAGAAATGGGGAAACAATCTGCTAATAAAGCATGATCAGCAGAACAATCAACAGAAATATCTACACACTTTGCTAAATTAATGGATAACTAACTTGATTATACTGTATATTTTACTCTCAGCAAAAGATGAAATGTGTTGCTCCTGGTTTTAGAGAACAATTGCAGATTTCTGTGCTGAATGTTCCAAAGCCTGAAACAAAGACGATTTACTGTAGTATCATTTACTATAAATATTCACTCAGGGAAATCACCTTGTTTGAAATTTATTGCATGTTATTTCATATGTCGACAGCTGAGTGGCAGGATGTAGAGATTAAACAGTAATAAATTGAATAAATGGAGGAATACATGGATTTGACATCAGAGTAATTAAATACTCTATTTATGTAAATTTAATTTAAATACACTACTTATTTTAGTACTGCAATTTATCTGATTTTCTCCAACATGTGGCAGTCTAGTAAAATCTTTAAAACATCACTAGTCTTCACAGCTGAAATATCAGGTATACTGTATCAATACATTACCCATTTTGTACAGTGCTTGCCTGTTTTTTGGGGATTTTTTTATTTTTTTTATTTTTATTTTTTGCTGTGCTTGTTTTTTTTTGAAAAAACTTTCCATAGCTATCACTTCCTCACCAAATCCGAGAGCTGGCAGACAACACTGTGTTCATATTCGAGCACAACAGATATAAAAGCAAATCTTTACTATTGGTTATCATTAATTTTAAGCCTAACTTTAGAGAAAGACGTAAGCATGATGATTTCGTCCACCAGGGATTTCCAGTGTCCTAAAAATATTCACTGTTAAAATCTACAACAGACCCTTCATTTCTGCATCGGGCATGGATTTAATCAATAAGCACAGCATGCAAGTCATGATTTTGCCAACTGGACAACAGGTTAGTCACTCACAGCATTTCTTGGCAGCAGCCACACAGAGGTCCTCAGCAGTGAAGCAGCCTTTAAAGTACTCCAGCTGGTTCATCTCTGGTAAGTAAAAGTGGATCTCCAGGCCCCACGTGGAAGCAGGAGGGGAGGAGAGTTGGGCCCTCCTATTTCTCCTCATTTTCAAACAGAGTTGCCTGCTCAACTCCATCACCCACAGAGTTGGCATTCAGATGCTGGAAAAAAAAAACAAGGGAAACAGAGAAATGGGGCAAGTGAGAACAATATATGAAACTTCTGTCTTAAGATCACTGATTCTGTATGAGCTTTAAATATTGTTTACTACAAAACTGGAGTAAATTCAGGACATATGACATATGAATACATACATAACAGGCCAGAGTTGGAAAGCAAATGTTTGATCAAAGGACCAAAACTGCAATTAAAATGTGAACTACTTCATTGGATTCATGTCTGATAGCTTTAAAAGATATTTATACTATCATGTAACCTAAAATATTCACAAACAAGGACTATGTTTGAGTTTTAGCCTGCTGATCAGATAAAAGTAGACATCTGACAAATTCACTCTGGGCTTTTGGGAGTTACATTAGCGGAATACTTCCTCAACTTTCTGTGGACAGGCAAATAATGAACTGATTAAACAAGAAGGTAAAGATAGTTATCGTATCCTTACTTTTGTTAAAATGCTGTTCTGTTCAATAAACAGCTACAAAAACACGGATAAGACGCATCCGATGAAAGCTGACATTAAACTTTCATTTCCACTAACACTACAGGAACTATTTCAAAGCTGTCACTATGCATTACTTGTTTAATTAAAACCAAAACTAAAATGACGCACAGCTGGTGCTAAATTCCTACTCATAACAATAATATTAAAACAAATGAACACATTGTATTTTGCTTTTTTGTTGAGTAACAAAATTCTGCATCATGTCATATTACACATTTAAGTACCCTGGCCAGCATTCAGACATTATTTTTCTGGACATCTAGTTTGAAAAGGTAGGGGTTGTCTACATTCAAGGATTTGACAAGTCTCCTGCTGAGAATGTTGCATTATGGCTTCTTTTGAGCCTTAATGTTAGGCTAGCAAGTGTTTTCAGTCCATTCATGATGAATCTACGTTGAATCTACTGAGGTCTAAAGTATGAGTACCTCTGTTCATTTTCATTTCTTTGTCATCAGCTGGGGCTATTGTGATTCATGTATGATTGACTGGTAAATCTCACTCACGCAGGCATTTCCAAGGAAACTGCAACAATTCACTTTACTGTCATGACAACACAATAATTTCCCACTGCTGCCGCAAGTGTCGTTTTAGAAAGCACGCACTAGTGCTTTGGTTTAAGCATTTTGTACATGAAGCCTAAACAAAAAATCTAAATCACTCGAGTGAATTTAATTCCTCTGAGCCCTATATAGAACTGCCATCTTCCAGTACACAGTACTTTTCTTTCTCAGTGTATTGAACAGACTACATGCAATCAGAAGTTAGACATTTTTGGAATGTGTTTAGCAAACAAAGGTTTCACATACTGTTTTTGTGGGTTAGATAGACCTTAGAAAAGGACTAAATTCACATGAAAAAAAAATATAAAAAGCAAAATACATCAAGAATCATAAAGGATCACTAATCACACAAACTCAAATAGGCATTCATCACCTTGCGTCGGCCACTACCACTTCACTAACAGGTGAATTGAAAAACACTGGAACCTGTTAAAGGTGTGGCATATAGTATGTAAAAGAAGAACAGTCAATTCTTGAAGCTGATGTGTTGAAAGCAGGACTAATGGGTAAGTGTAAGGATCTGAGCACATTTGACAAAGGCCAAGTTGGGAAGACTAGATGACTCTAGATGACTAGATGTCTGAAGTCAGAGCATCTTCAAAACAGCAGGTCTTGTTGGGTGTTCCCAGTACCCAGTGGTTAGTACTACATACAAAAAGTAGACCAAGGAAGGACAACCAGCAAACCAGCGGCAGGGTCTTTAGCACCCAAAGCTCACTAAGGTGAGCAGGGAGCAAAAGCTGTCTTGAGTGGTCTGATTCTACAGAAAAGTTACTGCAGCAGAAATTGCTAAAAACCTTTTAATGCTGGCTATGACAGAAAGGTGTCATAACACAGTTCATCACAGTTGGCAACATATGGGGCTGTGAAGGCACAGAGCAGTCAGAGTGTCCATGCTGACCTCTGTTTATCACTGAAAGCACTTACAAGGGACACACAAGCATCAGAACTAGACAGCCAGGTGCCTGCACATCATTCATCTGGCAGCAGGAGCGAATATTAAAAGAAGGCCAAGCGGTGAAGACAGTGTGATGCACTAACGCATGTTCTTCTTGGAAAGTTTTGGCCCTGGTAATTAAGTGCATGTTACTTTGACGCCTACCACCTATCAAAACACTGTTGCAGGCTACGTACACAACTTAATGGAAACGGTATTCCCAGATGGCAGTGGTCTTTTTCAGCTGGATAACAGGCCCTGTCACACTGCAATAAAGTGTTGAAGAATAGTTTGAGGAACGTGACAAAGAGGTCAAGGTATTGTCTTTGCTCCCAAATTCTATAGATCCCAGTCCAATCCAAAATCGGTGGCATGTGTTAGACAAACAATTCCGGTCCATGGAGGCCGCACCTTGTAGCTTTCAAGACTTAAAGGAACTGATGCTAAAGTCTTTGTGCCTGATATCCTGAGACCTTTAGAGGTCTGTGGAGTCCAGGCACTGATGGGTTAAAGGTGTTTCAGTGGCATGAGGGGTACTTGTACAACATCAGGCACATGACTTTAATGTTGTGGCTAATTGGTGTATATCCGCACTTGATGTTACACCACACAAGCAAATATGCTGGAGCACAAACAGACAGAGATATTTAGTATAATATGACCTATATACAGTACAGCACATTGAGTGACAGACTGATTAGTTTTTGTTTGTCCATTTCATCACCATCCTTTTTTTTTTTTGCTTGTCATAACTTATTTTAAGCTTCAAAAAAATGCTATCAAAATACTGAACCACAAGAAGTAAGACAGAGTTTATACTTTCCAGATTAACTCATACTGTTTCACACTAAGCTTAAATTTCAAATTGAAATTATCTGCCAAGCTAAGAAAGCCTGTATTGGCTTTTCTTACATTTATCTTATAAATCATGTGATCTGGTTTATGTCAAGTCTCAAGCATGTCTATGTGTACGTAAACAGAAATCTAACAGACATCATGTCTCCCTCTTCTCAAGCATTACAGCTGAATTTCTTGAGAAGAGATTTTCAGTGAGTCATCTGTCTGACCCAAACGGTGCGTTAAGTTACCTCAGTCTTCCTCTTTCTACGTAAACTCAACTGTCTGCTTCTGTCTCTCGTAGATCTATTGAAAAAAAAAAGTCACATTTAACAAATGTCAAAGGCAGCAATTATCTTACACCAGGCATTAGGGAGCTATCTTTTTGCAATCTCTAGACAAACCCTGTTCAGCTGAAAAGACGTTTACAGTTGTTCCCTGTTCCCCTCAACAAAGTCGCCCTGCATGATCGGCATGGCTTTGTTGTAAAAAAGAAGTGACTGGAGCCTTTACTTGCACCAAACAAAAACAAGACCTTGAAGGAGCTTGTGGTGCAGCTATTGACTGACAGTTGTGTAGGTGATTTAGGTGTGGGTAAAATTAAAAGCCTACACAAAAGGCATAACAGATGCTGCCTCTGCTTGCTCCTTCATTTTCCACTCACTACTCAGCTTGCTGCGAGTGTTCCCAAGTGATCACAGCCCACCAGTATAAAAGAAGTATCTGTAAAGCTGTTTACAGGACACCTCCAACTGGAAACAAAGCCTGGTTTTACTCTTTCTGTTATGAAGTTTTTGATCAAGGATGTTTAATATAAGACCGGAATGTGTCATATTTTTTTTAAAATGACTTTAACAATTCATTACGGCTCTGTTGATTCTTGTGATGTAGTTGATCAAGTGATCGTTTCAGCTTTTTCCTGTACAACTATGAAACTGAAATGTTGTACCATCTGATGTACTTCTGCTTTTATACATGTAGAAAATTAGACGTATAACGCAAGACAGCCCAGCTGAGAAGTTTAGGTGAGAAACTGACCTCAAGCATCATGGGAACTAAATTCGGCTGAAGAAAAAGAAAGTGGAACCTGCAGCGCCCTCTTTTTTCCCATGACTTTTTTTCCATGACAACTTGCTGTTGCAAACACTTCCTATGGCTACCTCAAGCAAAGACACTGTTTGTGCCTTGTATTGTTTGTCCACTGGAAATGTTGCATTAATTGTAATGGTTTTATGGCAGTTGTCATTTGGTTATACATCAAACCTCCATGACAAATAAAGAGGGTGAGCAATGTTCTCTCCTGCTAGTTGCCAGGGTAATAAAAGAGGGATGGGTCAGGGCAATCACACATGCATCTTAATGGCCAGCAGTCAGCTTTTCATGCTATCAAAGTCTGCCCTGCAGAAACGATCACTGACAAAACAATGATACCACAGAGATTCAGTAATGCACTATGTTCCCTGTAACATCGCAGATTTTGGAACCGATACCAAACTAAAAATAAATCTTTCTCAAAGCTGACCAGAGGAAATATTAAATTCAACAGAGATGATTGTACAAGCTGCATTTAACATTGTCCTCATGTGGCCAAACTATCTTTACCTTTCAGTTCAACTTAACCAGTTAACAGGGATATTTTAGGGCTGCATCACTCCCACAAAATTTGCAGCATTATAAACATCTTCCATTAGTCACTGTTGAAGTATGTCCTATTTAACATCTTGTTAATGATCAATTGGCTGATAGACAATGTAATTTAAGCTTTCTTTCACTTCTAATTGGTTAATCAAAATCCCAGAGTTGAAATCAGGTGCAGTGAACGCTGCTTGCAAGCATTAATCACCCACAATTCTGACTTCTGACCACACCCATAACTGATGCTAAGTGTGATCTGAAAATATTATTTCATGAATGAGGGGAAGTACATCCACCCACTGATGAACGCAATCTGACACCCAAAGATTCAATGATGAACTCCAATACAATTTGAACCCTATATGATTCAAAACAATATAATCATTTTAACATCAATGATTGCTGACTTTGTATTTGCCCAGCTTGTTGTTGTTTGACAAATTGGAAAATTTTGGCACCAACAAAAAGGTCTATCTTGCTTGGGCCTAGAATCTGTATTTTTTTGATTGCTTTCATTAATTGCTTGATAAATTAAACATCAACTATTTTGATAGCCACTTCTTCTCTTTTCTAAGAAGCTGTGAATATCAGAAATTGAGATTTTTTTTCAGTATTTTTACATTTTTCAGACTAAGGCATTAATCAAGTAATACTGAAATGATGATTTGATAATGATAGTTATTGTTGGTTGCAGCCCTCAACCTTCAATGAATTTCTGCATTAAGAATAACTTAAATAATGAAGCGATTATTAAATTAGTTGATAAGAAATTTTGTGAGACTTAGCTGATCAGTTAATTGAGGATTGGTTTCTGTAACATGGCACTCCTGTTGGCTATAATGCTAACTATAGCTAACAGGAGAAGCAAAATGTAATTTAGCGCTGCAAGTAACAGTTATTTTCATTACTCTGAAGATGAAAATATTGACTAATCAATTTATTCTGTAAAAATGTCCTCTTTATGAATGACTCAATGGATTAGTTTATTATCTATCCAGTTGTCTGTTGATCAATGAACTGATGGGTTATTTCAGCTATAGCTCAATGTTATAAAACAGATAAGCACTTGGTTGCAACATTAATGCTCGTGGACGTATCGAACAAGGTCATTGTGTTGATTGTGTGTACCGTCTGGTGGTTACTAAATTATTTAACTCATGCGCTACCAAAGCAAGGATTTTTCTGTTTCTTGTTAACATTAAATTGATAAACATTTTATTGTCAGTACACAGCCACTCAAAAGATCCTATAAGTGGCTTTAGTGTACCATTTTGTTATTAACAGAATTATTAGAATTATGTATTTATTGTATTATTATGTAATTATTAGAAGCATGTATAGGTGATCTGATGGGAAACAGCTTTTTATAGTTTCCTTATGGACCCTTCATCAATAGTCCCTGCTTTTCTGCAGTTCCCATCACAAAAAACATCGAATTCAGCACCTTATTGTAGGAACATTTACCTATATGTGATTCTCTTTCACCGTATCAATAGCTGAATTTACTTCACTGTACAGTATTAATACTTCATTAAAAGTTAATCAACTAACACTACTGGCTATAAGTATTTAAAACTAAAAAAAATAGACAGCAATCAGTAAAATTAGCTAGTGAAATGTTATCTTAATGACATTTTATAAAGCAATAATATAGTCTTCAACTTCTCACAGTAGGTAATGTTAATCCAGAGTAAGTAGTGGTAGTTCAATTTTTAATGCCACAGAATTTTAAAAGCGTAAATACAAGTTTAACTGAGTATATAAATATAGGTTTGTAGAAGTTTAAATACAAGGGAACAAGGGAACGGAGGAATATGTACAAAAAAAAACAAAAAAAACTCCCTTGCTAAAAGCTACAAAATCACCTTCCCTCAAATTAAAATGTCATGGGGAGGGCATATGCTGGTAAAGGAGCAACGTCACAAGAGAGAAAAACGTCATGAGAAAAGGTCAAATAAGTAATCGTTAGTGTTCTTTGATGTTAAATATCACTGTGAATGCCAAAAGGTGAGCCTATTTGATCACTATCTCATGTCTAAGCACTCTAATAGTAGCACTCTACAGCATTATTCTAATGTATTTAATAATTTATTGAACATTTCACATGACAATTCTGCTGAATAATTTGCATTAGAAAGAAACACATTTCACTATTTAGCACTCAAGCAAGTACATAAACTTGATACCAAAGTTCAATGGGTGAACAAACAGAATAAAAGTAGATCTGCACATAAAAACAAACTCATCTCTTGTTCAATCTGCTATTTAGTCTGGTGGTCCAAATTTCTAAACAAAAACAAAAAAGCCATTAGCAAGTAGTGGTAAGGCCAGAAACTTTTTTTTTCTGTCTCTGTTTGCATACGTGTGTACATGCATGTGCTACAGTAGGAAGATGTATCTGCTCCTGTCAATCATGTGAAACTACTTACTTACTACTTGCTAACACCATTTTTATGATTTACAATAACATTTGATTTACAGTTAGGTCTGAAGCTGATGATTTTCTATGAGCAAAGAATTTATGACTGGTTTCTTAATTAATCAAGTGTTTGTCCCTTCTATAAAAGTCTAAATTTCTGAGAAGGGCTCATCACAAATACCCAAAATCCAAGATGATTTATTTAAATGTCTTGCTTTGCTAAACCAACAATCCAAAAAAACAACAGCAGTAGCACTTACGTATCACAGTGGAGACAGACATAGAGAAACAATCCTTTTTTCTTTTTTTGCTTGACAAATTACTTAAGTGATTATCTCATTATCAAAGTCATAGCCAACTAACCAATCAGTCTTCTGCGTACAGGTAGGGGGCATGAAAGTGACACCCACCACAAACACCAACACCATATGAGCAAGAGAGCCATTTTCTGCTTCTTGTAACGATGAAGTAAATTCCAGCTAACAATATCACAATCAGTCTGACCATTTTACATAACTCTGTCTTTTCCGTGTTGGATAGGATCCCCTTGGCCCGTGTGGTTCTCCTGATCCGATAATAACCTAACAATAGACTAGGTTTCCTTCGTATCTTAATAGTACAATGACATGATCTAACCGGTTTGCTATTTTATGAAGTGTTTTCACTTTCATTATTATTCCAGACGGTAAAGACAATTTTCAATGGCAAAAAAAATAGTATAATTCGATCCATTACAACCGCCCTAAAACACAAACTATTAGTGTGAATCTTGTAATTTGTCTTTACACTTATTTTCAGTGTAATGTTAAGGCTATGATTTATGATTGTGGGGTTCTGTACACTACACTGGACCGCATGATTTTAACCATCTCATTGCCTCACTGAAATTCCGCTTTGCTTCCTGTAATTCTGTATTCCTCAGATTAAGTATTTTGACTGTACATCAGCCCATCCATCTACCTGAACTGTGCCACTGACAGCGGACGGAGTCTGGCTGCTATCAACTGGACTGACGTTGGTTGACATTAGCTTGTTAGCCAGTTCGTGGACTTAACTGGTCAAAGTAAACAGAGGCCTCCGCTACCTCCTCACTTGGCAGCAACGCAGAAACACCACAAACTCGTGGTTGTATTCAACTGACCAAAAGAAAGTCGGTGTTTTCGACGGAAACATTTAATAAACCGTTATTTACTCACCAATCGTCGCCAGACAGCTGGCAACTTCCGTTTCGCTTAGTACATTTGAAGCTTCGCCCAAGTTGGAGCTCCTCTCTGGAAGGCTTCAAGTGACTCTTGTCGACCTAATTTGATTTCAAACCGTCCCAATAAAAATATCCAGTATCCAGAGGGAAAGAAAGACGAGGTAAATTCCGCGGAATTTGTTGGCGTTAGGCAGCTATAGCGGACGTACAGCGGTCCTGTGTTCGTGCTCACTCTTCCTGACAAGTGACATCCCCTTTCCCGAAAACAACGCAGCGGGCCTCCGAAGAACACGGCAGCTGATTGGCTGTTGGACCGGTCACTCTACATGACGTCATTAACCCTTTAAAGCACAGCACAGCTCAAACTGGTGTCAGTAAGTAGAACATGATCAACCTTTTTGTCTTGTTGTGTAAATTCCAACAGCAACCCCATCATTTAATTTATTTTTAATTGAATTGAAACTTTATTTTGAGTCTCTGAAATAAATAGCAAATAACAAGAAATGTTTAACAGGCCTTCAATTTCATTCAGAATACCTTGATTGAGATTGTCTGCCACTTCATATCAATTTTTGTTTATTTTAGTATTATTATCTCATTTATTTATTTAGTTTTTTATTTTTTATTTATAACTTTATGCATTTATGTCTTTCAGTTGCATTCTGGAGTGTCTGAATGTTTGTACATATCTTGTTCTGACCATTATACGCTATTCATTGTTGAACTGAAATAAAAATTGGAGAAAAAAAAAAGCTCTAATTGTTGTCACCACCTGTCTGTTATTCATCTTTTTTTTAGGCAACAAGAAGAGGAAGAAAAGTATTTTGGTGAAGCCCTAAAAATTAAAAGTCAAATTCAATACATTTATTTTAATAGTTTTTTAACTGAATAAATGCCTGTCAAAAAAAAAAAGAAGAAAGAAAATGCAAAATTCTAAATAAAACAAGACACAGGACTTTACTGTCTTCATGTACTACTTAAAGTACTCCATAGAGATACCACACAGATTCCAAAACTGAATGTATGAATATGACCTGCAATTTGGGAAGGGCAACTGAAACATTAAATTAGATTACACTGAACAGTCAGCAGCTTTACTCCTTCTTCAATATTATGTGAATAATTAGTTTTAGGACCATGTACAATATCTCGATTTCATGTGCAATATTTTAATTTCAAGTGCAATACTTCCATTATAATGTGCAATATCACTTTATTATTTCAGCATTATTCATAGTATTGATTCTTATTTTTTCTGTTCCAGTTAAAAACTATTTTCACATTTTACTAATGTATTGCACTTTTATCTTATTACTATTCTAGTAGGCGCTGCTTTAAATCTTATGGTGTTGTAGTTCTTACTGAGCATTGTCTGACGAGAATTTATCTTCCTGTCCCGGTTTTCTTTCGCAAGTTTTCTCTTGTATTTCTTTGTTGATGTATTAGCAGTGGATGACGCATTCACACTCGTTGCATCTTTAAAAGTACCAGTATCACAATGTAAAAACACTTCATTACAAGCAAAAGTCCTGCATTTAAAATTCCAGAAAAGTAAATGAAGTTTTATCTGCTACATTTACTTAAATGATCACAAGTAAATTGTAATACTATAGACCTAATCTGCAGGATTATTAAAGAATTATTAATATCCAAATTGGTGTGTTCCATGTGAGATTAAGTGGTCAGTAAAGTGCAAAATAAATATGTTATCATTCGTTTGCTGATTCTTTGTACTAAGGAGAGTCTTTGTAAGTATCACATCTTCAAATCTAAATGTTCTGGATTCACACTCAGCTTTCTAACTATTGAACTGGAACACCACAGATGACACTTTAACTGAAGATAGGATGGACAAAAATATCTTAATATGTTATTAAGAGGAGAGTCACCTCTCCTGTTCTTAACATACACTTCACATGAAACTCTCAGACACATCTTCAGTGATCCAAAAGGTGCATGAAAATGCTTTTTTTATTTTTTGTTTTCAGGGTCTGTAATGGCCGTTAAGTTTAAAAGTTTTGATCCAACATGGTTAGGAAATCCTCAACGTGCATAAAAAAAAGAGAAAAAAAAAGAAAGAAGATCAAAAACTTAACACCAGGTTGTAATTTTCTTGCAAAAGGTTTGTCTGTTGGATGTTTTCCAGATTACTATTTCTTCTCCTTTATCGAACAACTAAGTCTATAAAGGTGCAAACATTCTCGTTTTGAAAGCTTAACTGCTTCTGCTTTTAACTGTAAAGCTCACCGTCAGTGAACACCTGTCAGCGGCTTTCAGTTTGCATATCGACCCATGTGTTTTGCATATTGGACCCAGTTTGGCATCCAGTCCCTGTGAGCACAGGGACACGTGGGGACGTCTGCAGATTAATGCGCAAACAGTATTTTAGTGCCAAACTTTGCATATATTGTGTCTCGTTCTGTAATGTGAAGAGAAACTTTAAATGAAGTGATGAATAAAAAAACAACACATTTTTAGGTAAAGGGGGGGTCTCATTTAAAGAAAGGTCTCTAGTGTAAATGTAAAGTCCTTCTAAGTGATAAAACAAAGACACAAGTGGCACCAGTGAGAATACTGGCAGTTATAGATATAACACCTTATCAAAGCGGGTTATCAGTCATCTTTGCCATTCTGTAGATGGGAGGGAAAAAATGATATTCTTACCATTGCAAGGTCCCCAACTATTTTGCATGTATTTGCTTTTCTGGAAACTTTTGTGAGTGCTTTCCAGTGGCTGTTTTCCCTTCATATTGTCTCTCAAGTATCTTTAAGGTTGTTAAAATAATCGTAGACATACTGACTGACAGCATCAAACTCTTTATTGATATATATATATATATCATGTTTACACAAAGAGTTTGGATTCATACCATTGAATAGATTCACAGCTGTTCATACTTTGTGACAAATTGGGAATTTTGGACGAGTGACTCAGGAAAGTCAATAAAATATGTGAGTAATTGTTTTCTTAAAGCTAGAAATCAGCAAGTCCAACACTCTGAGTGTTGCTGTTACAGAACAGTGAATGGAGTTTCCCTGCGAACAAAAGGTCAAACAAAGAGACCCAGTGACTGTGAGAAGATATTGACATATGAAGTCTAAACGGCTGTAATAAAGCAATCTGTGTATCGAATATCAAACATGGCATGAGCAAAGGTACATTTAATTCTGCAACAGATGCTCATAGCAGCATTATATTTTAAGTCACCCCATTTATATAAATATATATAAATAAAATTGAGTTTAGCATTTATAATGGTTTATAGCAGCTATAGGTATTTTGAACAGGTATTAATGTAGAGAGTTTGTACTGTATGCATGTCCACCTGAGGAGTTACAGAAGTTGACAAATGCATTACTAAACACATTATCTACACACAACTGGGTTGCAGTGAATTCCAAATAGAGAACCTGACATGAACAGCTGCCAAACTGGGTTCACATTTTTTTGTCTTCCTTCTCTTTCACATCAGGTGGGAACTGTGCACCGGATGACATCACTGCAGCTGTATTGTTCCAGCAGCACATAGGGAATAGACAGGGACCTGTGTTGATTAGAAAAAAATAAGCTTTCTTCCTGTAATCAAAGAATGAGGATGTGAGGGATCCTGCAAAGACCAAAAAAACAAAACAAAAAAAAAGTGCGTGCTTTATTTTGAGGAAGGGACTTCCCATCCCAGTAGTCTCTTTCTGTCTTTTATAAAGGGAAGTGTGAAGAAAATCCCCCATGATCACGGCCATCAGCGGCAAGTAGAGTTTTAGATGTTTGCAGAAAGTCATGAAAATTAGCCCGGGCTTGTATGCATGTTTACATTTAAAAAAAATAAAAAATAAAAAATCAGACATGTAAACCACACGTGACTGTCCATATTTTATTTTATTAAAAATATACCTTACCTTACCACATCACACATGGCTGAGTGAGGAAAACATGTGAATCAAGGCAAGATTAGTAGATTGAGGTTAGAGTGAGACAAAAACAAAATATGTATGATGACTTGTGAGGGGATTTCCACAGCAGCAGCAGCATGTGCCCTTTGAGGGAAACATACTAAGGACAGGTGCGGAGTGACCTGTGGTTTATCCAGATGACTCAAACAGTGCTTGTATTATTCAAAACAGTGTTCTGAAAAGTATGACTCACTTCAGCGTGTCGACATCACACAATACGTACGTCTTAAACTGTAATATTGTATTTTGATACATCAGGAAAATTACCAGACGGTTACCAAAACAACACCGGCTGAGCAATCCATGCTAAGATGGAGACTGTAGCTGTGTGAACAACAGCAAAGTATCTTGGATCTTGTTGAACCAGTCTGGATTTTATACACATAGCAATAGAAGAAATACTGTAAGTCTTCATTTTGTTATTAAATTGGAAAATTCGACCACATCTTTAGGCTGTATTCAATATGAATCTGATCTTTTCTTCTAACAACTTCAGCGTCAACATTTTGTTATTAAGGTTTCAGGGGCAGATTACACAATAGACAGAAGTTGAAGACTTTGCTATCTAAACCACAAAGCACACCAATAATAGATCTGTAGCTCCCCCTGTTGACAACAATGTAGACTGACAGTTGGGGAGTTGTTCAGACCTGTGCTCCCAGAAAGGAGTCAAACTCAGCTTTGCTTTATTTGCTTTATTTAAGCAGTCAGGAGGCAGCCAGCACTGCAAAGTATATGTAGGTCAAAATCATCCGTTTTGACTCTGATGAAGAAACACAAAGCAGATGGTGAATAGGGGCAGTTTTTCTTTGTAAGGTTTACTGACGTGATGCACGTTTGTTTAACCTTATTCAGGACTTTGGGGTCTTCTGGACCCCAGGCCACTTGGTTTAGGTGACAGGTATTGGGTTTTATTTTTGAAGATTTATTTATTTACTTTAAAATAAAGAGAGGGACATTTGTCATGTATTTGGAACCAAAAATACGTCAACTTACCAGAGAATTTATTCAACATGGTATAAAAGACTATAATGAAGACCAACAAATATTTTGCACATATTCTTTCTTGGGGTCCAGTGGACCTTCTACGTATGGCAACATGAAAGTCCTGGATAGGGTTAAACACCTTAGACCTGAACAAGTTTTGTAGGGAAAGATCTGTAAAGTCTGACTATGTGTTAATAAATTCTGGAAGGAAGTACGTTGCGCCTTTATCTAAGCATCAGTGTCGTTATAAACATAAATCTCCCTATCAGTTAAATTTATTGCCAAAATCGATTCACAAGCAAGATAACTGCAGGATTGACCCGCTGTCTGTTCATATGCATGCATAAATAAGAGGTGTCTTTTTACACGTGAGGTATTTCCTGAATTGTGTAAATTTAGAAAATTGGGTGTAAAAAAAAAACAAACATATTTACTAAATTGTATATGTCCTGCCTCAATAAAAGATAACCTTTGTTGTCCCCAAAGGTACCATACGAGCACACAGCTGCTCATGTCAGCCGTGACAAACAGGAAAGAGCATGTCAGTTATTGATAACAGGATTGAAAAAAAAATGAACTCAATTTAAATATATATATAGATATAGCTATATTGTGTAATTGCACTAACTGTAGGCTGTGCATGCGTGTTCCTTTTTAACCTCTTAAGACCCAAGCTCTTGTTTGATATGCATTTTTTATTCCTTTTTGCGACTTTGATCAGATCAAACAGCAAAGAGAATAAAACAATATAAATAACATACATCTAATAAAATATTTAAATAAAATATATGTATATAAATAAATAAAAAAACAATAATAAAATAAAATAAAACTGGTGTGGTAATATAACTCAAAATGTGATGTCCATGCATGTGGACGCCAGGTCTTAAGAGGATATGGTGCTTTTGAATTATTTGACACTGACCCAGCCTTTTAAAATAATGTAATCTTAGAACTGGCATCAGATGGCACCATTGTAACTCTGCAGCTATTGTTTTGTTTCAGTCATTCCATAGCTGACTGCTCTGTGACTGCAAATGTCTGTATTTAGGATCCACTGAATTAAAAGAAAATAACTAACAAATTATTAATATCATTATAAATGTACACATTCAAAATAAACATCACTTCATTTCTTTAAGTAGTGAAGATAATTCATGCAATTTCCCCTCAGGTCCAGTAAACTATTTCTGATTCTGAACTTTTTCCTTCTGTGGTTGTTGCACTTCAGTACACCACGATGCCCTGATGTTGGATTCAGCTTAGGGAAAATCATTTGTGTAAAGAAAAACAACAAACATAGACTTTCCAATATCCTGTTCAACATTTTATTAATCTTCACACCACAACAACTTTTCATTTACATACTCACACTTGTCCCCCTGCTCTCTGGTCCTCTGCTGCGTTAGCTGAACACTGCACTAGTGTCAAGTTGGCAGCCATCCTTCAGTTATCACAGTACTGTACCTTCGATGGGGACAGCATCAGCACTGTGATAACTGAACCAGGGCAGCCTGTCAAATCTAGCAGTCCGCCGCTTCACTCCATTTGTCATCCACCTACAATATCCGTGCTGAGCGGGCGCAAAGATAACGTTTTCCTTTCGCATTCCTGCAGCTCCTCTGGCGGTATCTCATGCAAGACGAGTAGCATCTCCAGCTTTTCATATAAATTGTACCGCACCATAAACAGATTCATTTACAAACTGATGTAGTCATGCAATGTAACAATACATTAGCGACTGAAATATCCACCAATGATCCGATGAAGACGGGATTTAACATTTTTACAAAGACAACAAACTTTCAGGGAAGAAATGATCCCCTCTTAATTAAACTTGCAAAGTCAGTTTAAAAAAAAAAAAAGCACATTCAAGCTGATTATACCAGAAATAAACATGCAGAAGTTGCACAGTCAGTACACTCATTATCACTGTGGTATGAGGTTTAGCAGGGTCTTCTATTTGCACAGACAAAGTGGTACAAACACTGATCCTGTCCTTCAGAAACACACACTCAGCTGTCCATTACATGTTAATGGATGGGAGTTGCAACAAAAACAACAGTGAGTGAAATTATTTGTCAAAAAAAATCACTTCCATGAGGGCTTTAAGGGTGTCTAAAGGAAGTCCAGTTAATAATGCACAAGGCAGCACATGCAACATGAACTCAGTGACCTATTAGATGTGAATCTCTGAGCTTGTAGTTTTGTTTTTAAGTCTCCAGTTTGTCGCTGCTGCAGAATCCTGGTTAATGTTTCATCTCATAAAACAATAACGGGTACAAAGATTTTTTTTTTTTTGCTTTCCTCCTCCCTCACCTTCTTTCCTGCTGCTGCTGCTGCTGCTGCTGCTGGACGAGACAGTATATTATTCATACCAACCACAAGGCCGAGTGATGTCAGACTTGTTATGATTCTGGTCGCCGGCTCCTCCCCCTCCTCTCTCCTCCTCCTCCTCCTCCTCCTCCTCTCTCTCCCCTCCCTTCCCCTCCTCGGCGGGAGAAGCCTCTCGAGCAGTCCGGTCGCGTCGCTCGGAACGACGTAGCGGCTCCTCCTCCCCCCTCTCAGCCAGCCCGAGTCCGCCCCTCCGCGCTTCATGTAAACAACTCCATTAGCCCCGCTGCACAGGGCGCACTGGCCAAGAGCTGTCCGTGGAAGACGTGGACGGCAACATGTGCAAGAAGTACCAAAAAATAAAAAAATAAAAAAAAATAAAAAAAACAGGGGCGGGTTAGAGAGCAAACAGTCAGAGCTGGGAGCTTCGTTTGTTGTCAAAAAAAAAAGAAAGAAAAAAAAAAAAAGAAAAAAACGCGCCTCTGTGATGAAAGCGCGTCCATATTGCGTAAAGCTTCAATGTAAATAACAGGAGACTGGCTCGTAAAGGTGAAGCCAGCGTCACTTATCTCAATGAACAACAAAGAGAGCAAAAAAAAAATACAAATAAAGCGTCGCTTGTTGCTCTTCACCACCCACAGAAATAAATAAAAGTTGGGCCAGATATTAACGCTTCACAACAACATGCACGCCTTCGTTAACCTGCTCCTTTTCAGGGGAAATTAAAAATAAAAAATAAAAAGCGCAGCAACAACAAAAAAATAAATAAATACAACGTTCGCAATGAATATTGTGCAGCCAAACGTTAACGCCCAGCAGTGCACACACACCCCTTTTTCCTGGGCAAAAACAAAACAGCACGCTGCGGGATCCGAATATAATCATTTATTCCTAATTGCATTCAGTCCGCATTCAACGCCGAAGAAATATTGAGCTCACTTACCTGCGATTCCCCCGTTTAATCCCCCGTGTTTACATGAATATTTTTAATGACGCAGCAAGACCACACAGAGCAACGTGATTGTCGCCATTTTTTGTTGTTATTGAATTCTCCAAAAACCATGTGACAGAAAAAAAAAAAAAAAAAAAAATGATCGTGATTTTAAAAACAGGCTTCCGGGTGCGCGGACAACAACTAGTTTCGCGAGGCTAAAAAAAAAAAAAAAAGGTTAATCTTCCGAGTTGTTTGTCTTGATGGATTAGTCTGGTTACTCCACTGACTCAACACTGAAGCCTGTGCGCAATATTTGACAGCTCCGGGACGCTGCCTGCCCGCCGCCGTATGGCTCGCAACAAGTAGGCTACTCACTGGATTCCTCACCGTCCGCAAATGTTGCGTGGAATGACAGCGACTCATGTGCTCTTTTTTTTTTCCTCCTTTTTTTTTTTTGCACCTCCTGTCAAGCAGCTCAGGAAAAAAAAACAGAGGAGATAATAACCCGCCACCAAGCATGAGCAATAATGAGAGCTCCGATCGGTTGGAAATGCTGTCAACAAGTGGTAGAATCCAAGAATAGCCCGATGACACTCCTTATTTTATTGCAGAGCTGAGTTCCTCAGTTTCAACTTTTGTGATTAAAAAAAAGAGCCCAGTAGGGATCAATTTATTATAAAATGAATTATATAAAAAAGATAATAACTCTAATGGATTGCAGATCCTCTATTTGTATGGCATCTTTTAAATTAGTGTCATGACACTTTTTTTGGTTTTTAGAAAAAACCTTGTGACAAGCCTCAACATGTATTAAAGGGGAAAGATTTTCCACAGCAATCTATCCCATTGCAATGGATGCACCTTAGAATAAAGCTTCTCCAAAAGGGTGCAAGAAGACAAATGCTGTCCTGTTCCTTACTATAAAATACTTTAATCTTCTGCAGTGCATTGGATGATTTGTATTTTACTGGAGGTTGCTAGTACATGAAAACAATCCCAGACAGATGGATAAATAGATGGAACAAGGGCGTTTTCCTGTGGCATCCACGCCCTTGCAAATATATATATATAATCAGGATTATTACAGTTTCCTCTCTCGGGTGTAGTCTGCACTGACAGACTACAGTTGTAGCGCCGTCGTGCGTGCATAAAAAACTACAGTAACCAGTTTACCCCGCGAAGTTCAGTCATCCGCATTTTTTCTGGATGATGTGCGCAGAAAAATAGGGCGTTGTGGAGACTCCCTCATTCATTCGCAGAGAAAACTCTTGTTCTTAAAGACGCAATGTATCCGTAAGAGAGCTGGGAGGGAGAGAGAGAGAGAGAGAGAGAGTGGGGGGGAAAAAAGCGTTTTGACTTAATCCGAGTCAAAGAGCAGGTTAGGTTAGCCCCAATGTGCGCAGAGAGTAGGCTCTGCGTAAAGACCCGCAGACTCCAGTGATACGCTCAAATTTGACAGTGACTACTTTTAAAGCCGCCCAGTCTTCAGACCTCTTAGATCGCACACGCGTGCAGCTCATTAGGAGTTTGATTAAGAGCTAAATCGATCTCTTGCGCACAATCAGGAGAAAGTGACATTTCCCAGAGTTGTTTTATTTTTTTTATTTTTATTTTTTTTCTCCCCTTAACAGCAGCAGCCTGTTTTTGAGGAAGAGATGGCAAAGTTCTTCCGAGCTGCTATCATGGGTCCACCAGGATCAGGGAAAGGCACGATATCCAAGAGGATTGCGCAAAGCTTTGGCCTGCAATATCTGTCCAGTGGCCACTATCTGCGAGAGAGCATAGCGGCAAACACAGGTAGGATACATGTGTACATGTGCTGAAGCCCAAACGTCAATATTGTGGTGTCAACAGGAAGAACATGCCTGCAGAAAAAAAAAAAAAGTTGGTGAAGCGCGTCATTTTCTGCGCTGCGTGTTTTTATGTTTCACGGTCCTCATGTTTCCCCACTCTTAAGAGCTCTCTGATTGTCAACAAAATGTAAATATAACGGAGGGAAGTTTCAGGATGAAGCGTGTGAACATGTTTGTGCTTCCTTTAAGCTCATTTGATAAAAAAAAAACCCCTTCAGCCCCCAAAACTCCACAATGCCAAGAATTCCAAAGACTGCAGTTTTTATTAGATTTGTGTCTGGTGGAGTTTACTTCCACAACTGTCGAATAAGGTTTTATTCCACGTTTAAGTTTTCACCATTATCATTTCCTCAAATCTCTTAAACCGCTGGTTGCTTCTCTCTTAACTTCCTCATTATAGCAAAGCAACTGGAATCAATTTAAATCCCAGCATGTGCCAAGCCCATGTATACTGACAATAAAGTTGAGTTCAGTGCAGAGAGCTGGAGTGAAGAAGCCTGAGTGCTTGGCCAACTGAAATGTTTGAATAAGGTTATGACTTGCTGGATAGACTAAACCATTTTCCAAGGTTTTCTGTACTTTATAAAATCAGTGAATTCAAGAGGCCTGTTTGTGTGAGGAACTGTGCCCTGGCACCAGCATTTCTGTAATTATCCACAGTCGGCCCCAGCGTTTCCAGTGTAATTTAAAAAGAGTAAGATGGGAACAGCTACTTATGTTTGCAGGGATGGCAATTTAGGTCAAATACTTTGGATCCAACAGTACATGCCTTGCCTTTGTTTTTCTGCTTTGAACTTGAAATCCGGGAGCAACAGCAGGCAAGCATAGTCTATCTTCACCTGTGTTTTGTGTATCAGAGGCAGGGCTGCTGGTGAAGAGCTACGTCGAAAGAGGCATGCTGGTGCCTGACCATGTGATGACCAGGCTGATGCTGCCCAGACTGGAGCAGCTGAGCGGCCACAGCTGGCTGCTGGACGGTAAGACAACAGTGTTTCCGTTACAGTGTCTACGCTTTAAAACTTAATTCTACTAATGCATTTGGAAAAATAAAACAGCTTTGCATCTGTCTTGATCATGTCTAGTGAGGGAATGTGTTCTTAATAATGCAGTGTCATGGCAGTGGTAGGAGCTGCCAGCCATCCCTTATATCTGATTGGCCGCCACAGGTGCCACCCCCAAAGGCCGGGCCATCAGGCAAGCTTGTTTTCTTTTTTTTCTCTGCGTTTTGAGAAACATGACCATAAAGTACCATATGCCCCCTTTACTTCAGTGTGAGGCCGTGGTAAAGTGAACTCTCCGTTATCCTACATCTGTGAGTAATTAGTGCTCTGAGGCGTTGAGCCCACTGCCAGCAGCTCCTGACTGTTACTCAACTTACAGTAGTCACAGGTGGTTCGCTTCAGATTCAAAGGAAAGAGTCCCACAAAAGCAAGTTTAGATTTTTGCGTCAGCAGGGTCAAGCAAGTTCCCTGTACTCATTTGATCTCTTTTGCAGTTTATGATTTCATCATACTCAGTGCCAAACATCAGTCTTTATGCCAGACTTAAGCAAGGAAATGTTAAAATGTTTGTCTTATGATGGATCAGATCACTGTGGTGTAACACTACCAGCAGTTCTATCACATACTACATGTCAGCATGTTGATATTTTTTGTGAATGGATTACATAATGATTTGCATATTCATGGAATTCTTATGTAATCCATTCACAAAAATTAACAATGTACATATTAATGTAACACTGGCATGAAACTAAAGCCAAAACCATTCTCTCTTGTTGCTATGCTCTGATCTGAAATTCAAATACCTCAAGTAGCAGAAGCAGGAGTTTCACTGTTTCCGAGTGATCAATCGGCAGATCGTTTTTGTTTTTTTTTTGAGGTTAAAAATTAGCTACCATCGTCCAGAGAGATGCCAAACATTGATGAGACCAGCGAGTGAGCATTAAACACATTTAAACCTTGAAACACGACCAGTAAACAAATAATTGAGCAAGAGAAGAGGGAAGGCAAACAGAGGTTCTGCACACACACACACACACACACACACGTGCCTCCCTGAATCCTCTCAATCATGTTTATCTCATGACTCCGATAGGCAGAGTTATTAGCGACGGCAGGAGGTTGGTAGAATTCACAATTTAGAGTTTTCAAATGTACATGCTATACTTGTTTCTTTCACCTTCCCACATGATAAGAAGATATCTCCTCCAGAAGTCTCTCTCTCTTTCTGGCGCAACCTTTGATTGGTGGCATCCTGTCACTCATTTGTGGGCAGCATGATACTTTGTTGGTTAGAGAAATTTCACAATGCTTTATCGACCAGACAAAGGAACAAGCCAGTTTCCACTCTAACGCAAAAGGAACCAATGAACTGAAGACGAGCCCAAATGCACGCATGTCGAAATGAAAGTTTAAAAAAAAAAAGTGTTTTTGAGAAATATAAGGAACCTACATGAAGAGTGAGCTCGCTATGTGAGCTAACGCATCCCATGTGTACTTGAGAAAGACACTGAACACTCACTGACTCCAGTGGCAGTATCCTGTCGGTCACCTTGACCTCTGACCTCCAAGTGGAGAGAGGTGGAGGACTATGGTCGGCCCTGTCAGCCATTCTGTTTCCATTGCGGTCTAGGAGCCATCAGCCTAGACTGTGACGTTTACTTGGAGCGTGTCAAAACAACAACAAATAGCGGTTAGTCCGGTTCTATGAGCATGTAGAAAATAGAAGCCTGTATGGTGGCTCTTATGTTGGATATGGTGGTGTTCAAGAGGTGAACACTGCTGCTCTATGAGGACATCAAGAAGGCAGAAAAATGGCATTTGTCATCCTGTACGATTTAAACCAATCACCACTGAGACCTGCACAGTATTTTATGTTGTAGGGCCAGGCAGTTCTCCACTGAATGTGAACCTGAAAGAAGTTCTGCACAGGATGGTCTTGTGATCTGAACACATTTAAAGGTTCAGGCCACTCTAAAACACCTAATGTGTCCCTGCAATGAAAACCATAAATTTACTGTACAAGTCTGGAATAGAAGCTTAGACGAAATACTACAGCAACTAAGTCGGTCAGTCGGTTTCTCTGTTGGTCCAGACTGGTCTCCCGACCTGTCCCTCTTCCTGCACCAAGAAGTTGAGATGTTTTGGTTTTTTTAAATATTGAAATACTTCAACTAATAGTCATAGATGGATTGCCATGTGTATGCAACGGATTGCACATACCTTGGTGATCATCAGCAGGTCAAAGTGTTCACTTTTCAAGCCTTGAAATATGGTAAAATATTCATATTCTCATAGGTTAATCGTAGCAACTGGACTTGCTTGAGTTTCTTAAAGACGTTTCACTTCTTATTCAAGACGCTTCATCAGTTCTGACTGACTAGTTGGGAGTTCCAGATACTTATATCCTTATGGACCCATTAACACTTGAGTTTCAGTTTCAATTGGGGGTTTGTGGCTCCTCCCCCTCGTTGTGCGAGTTGTTCGTGCTCCCCCCTGCCACAGTGGGGTTCCTTAAGGTCTTTTGTGGCTGAATTTGGTTTCCTCTTCCTACGGGGGAGAGATCTTAGGACTGAAAGAGTCCTAAGTCCTCCTAACCTTGATCTGGATGACTGAGAATCTTCAGACATAAAATATTCATACAACTCCTCAAAACAAACTGAAATAACGTTACTGAGCCTAACATCTAGCGCCATCTTCAGGTCAAATTTTCTATCTGTCCCATATTATTATATTATATATATTTTTTAAAAAAGCAACAATTTCCCTGAGGTTTCTACCAAACTGATCAATAAAGTTCTATTCTATTTAGTTTTTTAGCTTTAAAACAAATTTTCTCAGCTGTATGAAAACATGTTGGCATGCAAAGTAATTCAACTAAAAAAGGCGACTACGGTAAACCTGTCAAACATCGGTATGTTTGTGTTTCCATTATTCACATAAGTAATTTATAAAGTGTCCAATCACTGTACAAGTCATCTCAGGCCACTTTACAAGGTAAGATATTAACCCAGAGACCTGGAGAAACACAAGCTGAGCTACACTTAGTGACAGTGGGGAAGAAAACTCCACTCTAAAGGTACCATAGTGGGCCTCACATGTCCCCACAGTGTGCCGCACAGTTTTTTCTCAGCTCCAAATACTGCAAAGATGCTTCATTTCACCATGACTGTATAACTCGTGGTGTTTCTAAATGGGGTTGTTTTGCTCTGAAAACCAATGAGCTGCTTCTGTTCCTGCCCCCCGTTAGGAAGAACACTGTCTGTGTCGTAGCTGGATTGGTGAGTTTCCTAGTACCTGCTTACTCGCTTGTAAAACTAGGGGCGAGGACTGGCAGAAGTAAATGTCTTCATATCTTAACAGCTTTTATTTTACACCTCCAAGTTTATACCAGCCACAAAACACAATAAAAATGGATTCTCACCACTCAGGACCTTTTTAACAGGGAGAAGTCTCTGCCTCAACCATAAGTGTAGCTTCACAGAGCTGCTAGTGTGACTGTAAGGGCCTGTCTTCTTGTTGCTACTGGTGGTTTATTCAGGCTGTGTAACTGACAGCTTTGTTTTCACAGTAAGTTCATTCACAAGTGCATAATCCAGTTATTATGTCATAAATCATTTCACTGGAAAACTGGAAACGGTGTCAGTCCAAGTTCACCCTCTGTCAGCCACTGATATTGGCAAACTTTTAAACAGGAAATTTCAGAGTGTAAGAGTGTGAAACGGTGGATTATTCCTGCTTTGTAAGTCTTCCTCATGGTGCTGATTTATACATAATCTTGGCACGTATGAATTCAGTTTTAAACGTACAGTCGTCCTCAAACGTATTCATACCCTCCCATTAAAGAAGGAAAAATACAGCTGTCACTGAAATACGCTGAAAATGACAAAAGTAATAATAAATAAAAATTTTATGAAAATCATGACATTGCTTTTGAATTGTGGTTCAACAGAAATATAAACTGATGATGGGACCCGTAAACTAATATTTTATTGAACAACCCTTTGAGCCAATCACTGCAATCAAGTGTTTTCTGTAACTCTCAAATCAATTTTGGCCCACTTATTTATTATTACTTTTTTTCATTTTCTAGTTATTTGAGTGACTATTGTGGATTTTGCCTTTTCTTTAATGGAAGGGTATGAAAACATTTGAGGACGACTGTAGCTGAGAGTTAAAGTAACATACCAGTGTATATGACTGTCTGTCTTTTCCTGGTTGCCGATGCCTCACACGTCCCTCCCTCTCTTCCCTCCCAGGTTTTCCTCGCACACTGTCGCAGGCTCGGGCCCTCAACAATTTGTGTCAGCTCGACTTGGTCATCAGCCTCAACATCCCCTACGAGACCCTGAGGGAGAGACTGAGCGACCGCTGGATCCACCCAGCCAGCGGTAGAGTCTACAACATGGGCTTCAACCCGCCCCGAGTGAAGGTGTCAGAAATCTGGACGTGACAGTATAGTTAGATTACGACACTATATGCAGCAAAGAGGAAAATGAATGTGTTGCTTCAGCGGGGTTGTCGAAATGAAAGAGTGAAAGCAGATGAGGGATTGTGTGTTTACTCACTACTCCGCCCTTGTGCGGGACAGCAACACTCTTGCTGCCCGTTGGTTCACTTTTCTAAACTCCTAGTTACCAGATTCACAGATGTTAAAACAGATTACACCACAAATGCCGAACATATAAGATAAACATGATAAACTCTGACATTTACAAAAGAAAACATGTCCAATATGCAACTTACAGTAGTGTTAGGTGGAAACATGAAGCTACCAGTGCACAGTGTTCCAGATAGTTTCAGTTTAAAGTGAAAAATAAATGCACAGAATTAATTTTGAGTTTTTCAACAAGGGAGAAAAAGAACTTGTAGCATGTTTCAACTATTTAATTTAACTTTGATTATGGAAAAAAAAAACATGAAACGCAAATGATTATTCATAGGATAGATGTTAATAATGTCTAAAACTCATGTGGAAAGCACATTTAAACAATACAAATTATTTCAAGCATAAATTATTGCACTAAAAGTCATATTGTGAAAATAAGTTTGGTAGCACTAGAAAAGAGGATATGGTGATAACGGTGCATTATGTTGACTATAACATTCAAGCTGGTTGCACTTCATATATAATTAATATGCGAGCGCCTTAAGATCAATGCATGGATATTAATGTTGATCCTCTAAATGCAGTGTGCAGGCAATTTAGTTGTTTTATTATTTATTTTACTGAGCTGTGACGTAATCCTTTAGCTGTAAGTTACCAGTGTCTTGAGTTTACCTTTTTGTTGCATTGTTGTGACCTTGCCTTGCCCCCCCCTCAGGGCAAAGACGATGTCACCGGTGAGCCGCTGATTCAGCACGACGACGACAAGCCCGAAGCTCTGATGGCCAGACTGAGACACTACAAAGACGTGGCGAAGCCGGTCATAGACTTGTACAAGTCAGTAAATGCTTCACTTTTATGATGCACACTGGTTTTTACATGACAACAACCATGTTCTCTAAAGAACCACAAATGCTTTGGTGCATTTTCTGCAAGCAGCAACATATAAAAATCAGAATCAAGCTGAATTGGGAAAGACAATTCATCCATCCATTATCTATACACCGCTTAATACTCACTCGGGTCGCGGGGGGCTGGAGTCTATCCCAGCTGACTCAGGGTGAAGGCAGAGGACACCCTGGACAGGTCACCAGTCTATCACAGGGCTACACTTAGAGACAGACAACCAAGCACACTCACATTCACACCTACGGGCAATTTAGAATCATCAATTAACCTCAACATGTTTTTGGACTGTGTGGGAGGAAGCCGGAGAACCCGGAGAGAACCCACGCTGCACGGGGAGAACATGCAAACTCCACACAGAAAGATCCCGGTGGCCTCACCGGGACATGAACCGGCGACCTTCTTGCTGCGAGGCAACAGTGCTAACCACCGAGCCACCTTGCAGCCCTGAAAGATAATCTACCAGAATAAAAATCAACTGGTTTTAATATAACTTTGAAGTATTGTTGTAATGTTATTATTACAGGTAAATGAGATGTTGACACTGAAAAGCAGTGCATTCTTGTTCAGTGTTGCACACAGACAATCAAAGTCCAGTGTCAAACAAGAAAACAGATGTCAAAAGAGATTGCTTCAGTTTTTTCACTTCTAGAAATTTTGAAGCTTTTCTTAGATGTCACGTATGGTTCTCTGAGATAATTACATTGGTTGCAAATGATTTAACATACCTATTTATAACTAACCTATTTAAAGGGCAACTGCTTTTGTAGCCCCAGAAGAATGTGGGTCAAGTGTGATTTTCTCAAATATTAAGTAGTGGCATGAGAGTCCAAAGTCCGCAAGCCTGAAAATTAAAAGAATCTGTAGAAAAATGTTAGAAAAATGCAAGGGTCACCTCATTTTAGTCGCCTGCTCCTGACCTCTGCTTCAGCTTTGAGGTTGCATTAGCTCCTGCCTACGTGACACACCTGAGTTATACTGTGGACATGTCAGGAGCTTTGTGGGGCTTTGTGCACAGACTAGAAAAGTCGATTCTACTCCATCCATCCATCATTTATTTAAATTTTAAACTCTCTTTTGTGAGATCAACAATGCTCTAGAGGAGGAATGCTAACTTGTTGGACTCTTTTTAACATCTAGAGACTATAAAAACTGCATCCAAAGCCTGTTTTAATTCTTATTTGTTCACCCTTCTTGTTTCCTTCTCACTCAGGTCTCAAGGAATCCTGCACTCATTCTCTGGTACAGAGACGGACCGGATTTGGCCTTACATCAACTCTCTCCTCAACACCAAGATGCACACACAGCCATCAGATGCTTGCCAAAGCCAGACACCCTGACACTGCTCTGAGAGAGAGAGAGAGAGAGGCAGCCACGGAGACAGGAGGAGGAAGGAGGAGGAAGAGGAAGGAGGAGGGAGGAAGGAGGAGGCAGGATGACATCTTTTCATGCTGGCCTCATGTCAGCTTGGAGCTTCCTCGTTAACGGCGAGGTTTCGAAAAATGGACTAGGACACTGTTCAGCACGTGTGTGATCCAATCACTAGTTGGTTTTCCAAATGAATGGTTGCATGCAAATATTTCAGGAGCTTTATACTGAAGATTGTGACGAATTCAACATGATCGCAAAAAAAATGCTCACATCCTGCAAGGCAATATCAACACGCATCATTTTTTTTTTTTTGTAAATCAGAAGCACTTATTTTCACATTTGACTTTTTGATTTTCAGTTTATTTTTTCTGTTTTCGACCTGTTCATTGTGTAGATTGAATAATGAATCAGGGATTCTCTTTATAGTAACAAAACTACAGAGCTGATGGATCAATGGAAGCCAGACATTGCGAGGTTTGGTCACTCAGAGCATTGAATACATGTTTACTGTAAAGAAAGTAACATGCTAGTCAGAGCAAACATGGGTAACGCTTCTTAAAAAATCTGATATATATAGTTTTTTTTCTTCTAACAATAACAAACACTATCACATTTTACTGCCTCTATAAATATACTGTGTGGGTTTTTGCCATTTTTGCCATAACTTCACAACTGTAGCTTTCACTGTTTTGAAAACGCACAAATTTCAGTCTCGCCACAACCATAACCCAACCCGTTCAGCATGGTATCACATCTTAAACGAGCTTCGACAGATCATCCTTTGGGTACTTTTTTTTTTTTTTCCTCCTCAAACTAGAAACCTGAAACCACTTGCTTGCTGGGTCACCTGCAAGTCACGATTTCATAAAGTGGTTTTCAGCTCTTCAACTTTATCAGCGCAGCGTTTCTACAATATATCCATCACATACACAGACAGACCATTTGCACTGTATAAACTGCTATTCTTTACTTTAATGCTGGAATGCTGCCGAGTTTTGTAAGAGTTTTTGGGCGCGGTACAAGCAGGCCTCGCCGTCGCTCCGCGTCACACCGGGGCTGGGATGAAGACCGACGCCTTCGATGTTGTTAGATTCCTTTAAATATAAGACTGCCTTGAGATTTATGTCATCAAAACATTATATTTTCGTTAAATTGTCATTTTGTGTGCAGCGTTTGTTCAGCTATAGAATACTGTTGTATGATAACTTTAGCAAATAAGAGGTCACGTTTATGACTCTGACCAGGATGTAAAGGTGTTTTTTGTTTTTTCCTTCCAGATTGTTTGAATATAGAAATCAGTTATCGGATGAACTACTTGTAAAATGTCCACCTTTGCTTTGCAGCTTTTTATTTTTTATTCTGAGAAGTGATAAAGCTTGTCATTGCCTCAAGCACACTAGCGACCAACATGTGCAATAGAACAACCAAGACCAAACAGGATGTTTTTTTTAGTTCTGGCAACACTGACATTCCAGATTTACAACTTTCTCGTCAGTTTTGTATCACCTTAATTGATTATAAAATAGTGTGAATTCAGGGATTGGCCATGGGCAACACATATGGAAAACATTTTCCATTAGGTTTTCAGTGATTTTGTGTATTTTCCTTATCTGGGGGTCAAAGGTTATCGTGTGTTGCATGCTGTACATTAGATTGTGAGGTATTTTGAGTTGACTCAACCAAGATGGGAGACCGAGGAAGAAGAAACCGAATCTCAGCAGCAGAAGTGTGACGTCTATTGATGTTGATTTGATAAACACGTCTGGAGAGTCTGTGGAGAGCAGCTGATTTACTCTGTGGTTTCTGCTGCGTCGACTCTATCGCTGGATGCTCGGTGTGTTGTTGTCGTCGGGTGAATGGGTGCGATGCGAAAGCGTTAAACTGTACATAACCACAATACACTGCTGTTATGTAACACCAGTGATTTTTTTTTCTCCCCTGCCCTGTTCATACCATGCTGGCTACACATATTACATTCCAAGAACAATAAAAACAAATATTTTCCCATGCCTGCTTCCATTGTCTGTGTTTTTCATCTAATACTTGTTTTGCAACATTTTGCACCTACTTCTCAGACAGTTTATTAGTTTAGGGCCAGACAGCATTTCACTAATTCACACTAAGGTGGTTATAGACATGATCTCTGCACGTAGGAAGCTTCAATATTTCTTTCCAAGAAACCAGCAAACACCAAAGTTGCCTTTCTGTCTTGCAAACAGACAAAATAATGGAAATGCTTTGCCCCTCCCTTTCGTTGCTCCTTGATCTTTCAAATCATGTGAGAAAAACAGGAAGCAGCAGGAGGGTGTGCAAACTTATGCACAAAAGCAGTGGTGGATATTTAAAACATGCAGTGGAAAACAGACACACACAGGCAGGCAGGCGTGGATCTGCATCTCCTCCCTTCTTGTCTAATCCTGTCGGATCAGTAAATAAAGCCCATGTGCGTTAGAGCTTGGGTGAAACTCCTGCTCCACTTTCACGCATTACAATCTCATCTTCTGTGTTTACCTTTGACAGGAGGTGCAGGGCAGCTTTTGCATGCGAGAACCATCACAAAAAGGCAATATTATCAATGACAGTGTGTCCAAAACCTGAAATGCAGCACAAGGGGTGACTGGCAAATGTTTTTTTTTGGGGACCCCATCTAGTTGTTTAGAGTCCACAGTTTTAAAAAATGAATACATTTAATACTGGAGCAACCACTAGGGTGGATTTTTTTTTCTAAATTACTGCAGTTCTCCAAAGAGGTTTTCTTCAGCACATTCCCGTTTCTGAACTCCACTCCTGGTTTTCGTGTTCCAGGACGCGCCGACAGACGCAGTTTCCACTGAGCAGATCCGTACACATCCTCGCCGCTGCGCTCTCCTCGTTTACGCACATCCACACCTTCTACAGATCTACCAATCGCCATCGCAGGACCGTGTTTGTTGATCATACGCCAAAATGTGATTATACGATGATGCTGTTGCCCGGTGCAGCCATCTGTGATTTTTTATTTTTTTTCCCCCGACAGGTGAACTCCGAGCCACGTAAGGAAACCCCCTGACAGGGACGGCGCGTCTCGTTAGGACGTTTAACGCTTTTGACCTTTGACTGGCAGCGAATGACAAATCAAAGGTCGGTGTGTGTGCGCGGAGTCGGGGTTCAAAGCGCATCTCCAGCACGGCACAACGCGGCGCTCCCGGGAGAATGCTCGAAAGCGCTCTGAAAGGTAAAAGTCATCTCCTGGGTTTTGTCATTTTGATGTGATTCGTGTTTTTGACTGGCTCAGCCTCCCCGTGCGAGGATGGAGAGAGAGAGAGGGAGAGCATCATGATCCGTGTGTGGATGTTACATAATATGAAGCTACCTCTGGAAATTGTTGTGACCACTTCCCCCCTCACGGTGCGTCTCCGCTCGGTGGACGGAAGGGTTCCATCAACATGCACTTGTTCCAGGGAGAAATCTGTTGTTTTTTCTCTCTCTTCCTCTCTCAATTATGAGACAAATGGAGCTAAAATGCCAAACTTGTCTCTGTGCTGTGGGCCTATGTTTGTCTGGATGCGCACAGGAGCATCATGAATGACATCATTTGGGTTATTTTTGTCAGTGGTGTCGATTTTTTTTTTTTTGTACATGTGTCATGATGTGATTTATTCTGCCATCGCTGTGTCTGCATGATTAATGGCATCTACTTGATTAAATGCACAGTGTGAGAGCTGCCACTGTGATTTCAGATGGATTTTTCTGTCAGCTGATGATGTCGGGAATCGCATGTCAGGATACCAGTTAAAGGCGCATGGCACTTTTACGCGCAATCACGTTTAAAAGCCAAATTTCTCAAGTATTTTTACATAATAAAGCAAAGACACAGCCCTGATTTTATTATTATTATTATTATGTGAATGATATGCTTCTTCTATTTCCATCGACAGTATTACCAGAATCACCTGGAGCTGGCTCTATGTTAAGAGGACAGCTCCTCTTTTCCTGTCCAATAACGCAGCGTCACATCACCAAGCGTCACGCACATCACGTGAGCAGCTTAACACGGCTTGGTGTGGCTTCATGTTCTGATCATGAGCCACTGACTCACCTTTTGCAGCAGGATGGTTTGGTGGCAGAGTTTAGTGCATCAACAACACATGCACAAGCAATTTTATGCACACCATATGGAAGAAAGCATTTGTAATCTCTAAAAACTGCAAATGCGCAGGGTTTAAGCCTTTAATGCCAGAGATCTGTAACTAAACAGGTAGGGAATGTGTTTCTTGTTCAGCAGTGTTTCAACAAGATAGATATTTTCTATGCAGCATGGGTGGCTTCATGAAGTCACTACATAGGACAAAAAAAACCCTGGATTACAGGATTTCTTACAGAAGTCTCAAGGACTCGGCCACCAACAAGTCTGCTGTCAAGCAAATCCAGCGGCTGATGCAGCAGATTCCTGGATTCTGCTTTAACTGTTACGAGGATAATCATTAATCCTCAATCTATGCTGAGGAAGATGGTAAAAAAAACCCCCGTAAAAATAGCAAAGCAGCTTCTTTCAGGACAAGAAGTCAGTATTATGTCACAACGATGCCATCAAACAGTTAAAATGGCACTCCGGAGTAGATATAAAAGCTTTAAATGAATTCTTAAAAAAAAGAGTAATGTAAACAAGATCCTGGAAAGTCACAATGAGGACTCCTCCAATGTCATTTAATATTCATCATCGATGCCAAAGTCAATATAAGAGCATGAGAGGCAGGTTTGAACAGGTGCTCGGTTTGTTTTGTACATAAAGGTGTCTTAGAAAAAACCTGCCCTCAATATCACTACAGGTCGCTGAGCCAAGTGCTTCGTTAGCATTATTTCTGGCATTTACTTATTGTTGTGAGTCAGTCACCCATATTTATACAACAGCTGCCCCACGTCCATGAAGGTTAAACTGAGATCCATAATACAGTATCTAAAAATGTTTTTGGAATAACAGACAGAGGAGTTTTAACCCTATTCAGGACTTTGGGGGTCTTTTGGACCCCAGGCCATTTGGTTTAGGTGACAGGTATTGTTTTTTTTTATTTTTGAAGATTTGTTTTAAATGTAAAAAGAGGGACATTTGTCATGCATTTGGAACCAAAAATATGTCAACTTATCAGAACATTTATTCAACATAGTATAAAAGTCTATAATGAAAACCAATAAATATTTTGCACATATTCTTTCTTGGGGTCCAATGGACCCTGAAAGACCTTCTACGTATGGCAACATGAAAGTCCTTAATAGGGTTCATGCAAATAATGCTATACTATGAATACAACCGTTGTGTTTTTCAAAGCTCTTGCTTATAATGCTGCACCCAACAATCGAGGGGTTCAGTGCCAAAACGAGCCAAACCATAAAAACTCTAAAGTTGAGTTTCATGTTTTTTTGATAAGTGTTTATGGTCTGGGCTGCAAGGTGGATCGGTGGTTAGCACTGTTGCCTCGCAGCTAGAAGGTCGCCAGTTCATGTCCTGGTGGGGGCATCTGGGATCTTTCTGTGTGGAGTTTGCATGTTCTCCCCGTGCAGTGTGGGTTCTCTACGGGTTCTCCTACTTCCTCCCACAAGGTCCAGAAACATGTTGAGGTTAATTGGTGATTCTAAATTGTCCGTAGGTGTGAATGTGAGTGTGCTTGGTTGTCTGTCTCTAAGTGTAGCCCTGTGATAGACTGGTGACCTGTCCAGGGTGTCCCCTGCCTTCACCCTGAGTCAGCTGGGATAGACTCCAACCTCCCCGCGACCCTAGTGAGGATTAAGTGGTGTATAGATGATGGATGGATGTTTATGGTCTACTAGTTCTTGGTGAAGTGGTCCAACCAACAGCCCACTAGTAATGTCACAATACGACTTTGAAGTTTGGCTCATAATGGTTTTGGCATGAAAATTTCGTGGCAAACTGGGCCAAGCCACAGGAACTGGTAACCATCATATCGTAGTCGCAGGTAGTCGCACGATTCAAGATGGCGGACAGTGTGACCTTAAGCCTCGTAGGTAAGGTAAAGTAAAAACTTCAAGCATCTATTTCTACCCCATGGTCCTCAAAGGTATCTGTAGTTTCATGTAAACTCTTCAATGTTGTTTAGCAAGACAAACCTTGAATCATTTTTTTTTTTCTCAGAAAGTAGAAAATGTGGTATAGTCCACTTTGGTACTCGGCAAAACGCAAAATTTAAACTTAAATAAGTCATCACAAAGTAGCTGTTTCTATTTCTGGACAGCATTGAAACATATTTGGATGCACATAATGACTCCTCCAACAACCGTGATTTTATTTTATTTTTTATTTTTTTAAAGCAATACAAAATTTGGCCCCTATTTTTCTATAAACCTAGTAAATGTGGTTTGGCCCACTTTGGCACTGACACTCTCAATTATTTCAGTATCAGTCAATCAGATGATTATTTTTTCCAAATATTCAATTAAAATGTGTTAAAAATGCCCATTACATCTTACCCGAGACCCATTTTCTTACTTGATTTGACCAAAAAAACACTTAAGATGAATTCACTATCAAACTAAGAAAAGCCAAAAGCCAACTGTTTCATTCTGAGAACCTTGAACAAGTACATGTTAAACATTTATGCACTGTGAGAGTTTTTTTAAAAATTACCTTTCTCTAAATCATTTTTTAGGAATTATTCGTTTTTTTAATCTCACTTTTTATTGAGTATATACACTTAAAATAGTGTTTTTTGTGATATCTAAACCGCTGCTGCAACACTGCAATTTCCCCTTATGGGATCAATACAATCAATACTCCATCCATCCATCCATTATCTATACGCTGCTTAATCCTCACTAGGGTCGCGGGAGGCTGGAGTCTATCCCAGCTGACTCAGGGTGAAGGCAGGGGACACCCTGGACAGGTCACCAGTCTATCACAGGGCTACACTTAGAGACAGACAACCAAGCACACTCACATTCACACCTACAGACAATTTAGAATCACCAATTAACCTCAACATGTTTTTGGACTGTGTGGGAGGAAGCCGGAGAACCCAGAGAGAACCAACGCTGCATGGGGAGAACATGCAGAAAGATCCTGGTGCCCCCACCAGGACGTGAACCAGCGACCTTCTTGCTGCGAGGCAACGGTGCTAACCAACAGCCCCAATCAATACTCAAAGATCGATTAACATAATATAACCACATTGGAATTGACTTTGCAATGGCTTATTTGATGTATGTTATGAACAGTTGTTTGCTCACCTCACTGAGATCCAGACTTCCTTTGCAAGAGAGAGAGAGCTAAAAACAGTAGAGAGAAAGAAAGCAACAACATCAGACGAACAAAAGCACAGAACATACAGAGAGCGTGTTTTATCCTCATGTGCAAACCTTTGATCTTGCACTGACCTGGCAGAGAGCATGAAGTTTGTGCTGCACCTGCTCGCTGTGTCCTCAGCATGCAGGGCATCGAGCGCTGAGCATTGGTAGGCACGGTTAGGAACGAGACAGGAAGCTCCTTTTTGCGACAATGCAGCGGCAGCACGTTGCGTCCGGTTATGGCGGGGGTATCGTTCCTCTCTTTTGGACATTCCGTTCCCGCTGTGCTTTGAGCTCCCGTCTGCTCTCCTAAAAGAGTTTCCCAGGCTCATGTCCTCTTTTCAGAACCATGCAGGGTTTCTGTTGCCAGGGGACAAGGCCCAGGAAGGAAGCATGCCATCGCTGGTCAGTGTTTTGTCCTGCATGCACTCGGGGTCATAACACAAAAATCAGACTTAAAGTGGCAAATTTGGAGCTAAAATTGCAAATCTGCTGGATGTTATTGACATCACAAGGAGGCTATTGACATCCAAGGTTGCTGTTAAGTCGAGAAGAGACTGAGAAAATTCAGAGTGAGTTTCCTTGTTCTGACAAAGCATGGTGCTGTTGTCTTACAGTGCTGATGGCAAGGCTCCCTCTTATTTTAATCTGATATTGTCACAAGGCCAGGGGTCTTTGTTCATTTTTAGTGCTGGACTCAAATGAGAAATTTGCTCTATTATGGTCCCAGACTCATTATTTGGATCTTATTTATACAAAAGAAAGCAGGTCGTAGCAGGGAGGCTTTGTAAATTAACTCAGCAGTTTCTTGCAACTCTGGGGATTTTAATGATTTAAGCGAATGACACTTAAAACTTAAAAACACACTTTAAGCCTTTTTAAATACAAACAGTCATGGTGATTTCAGACATCACATGAATAATGTGTATCTGACTTGCAAAAATGTTCAACGGTAACTGAAAATGATATTATTCATAATCAGAAGTTTAATCATTTGAGTCACCTTTAAAGTAAAGTTTCCATAAAACAGAGTGTTTTCTACTTTTAACATCTTATTGCAAGTCTGATATCTCTGGGATTTTTTTTTTTGTCATATTTGGTTCGAATCAACAACTTAAAGACATGAATGCTCACACATTGTGATGGGCAATTTTTTTTCCTCACAATTTTCAGACATTTTATAGATATGAATTAAAAACAAATAAATAAAATCAGCAGATTCTTAGATTATGCAAATAATTTCGATCGCTTCCGAATGCTGATTTTGGAAATTTACAATTTTACAAAATTGCAATTGATGCAGATAATATTCAGAAATATTACTAACACATGCATAATTCTAACTGGACGTGTATAAATAAAAAGAAGAAGATCTTTTTCACTCATTTCCTAAATGGGCATATCAGAAAGTGTAATTGCATTAAAGGTTACAGACTTTAACTATAATATTTTAATGGCTACACTACTAATAAACTGAGTTTAATATATCTGCAGCACCATTATTAAAGCATTCATGCTTTGGAATCAGTATCCAACACTGATATGCATAATGTGAGGGTTTTTTGGTTTTTGTGCATACTTTCAAAATAAAATCCTCATACAGCCATTATGATTCCAGACATCACATGTTTTCTACTTTGAACATCTTATTGTATTGCAAGGTTGATATATTTGGAATATTTTTTAGTCGTGGTTGGTCCAAAGGAACAACTTACGCTCACACATTGTAATGGGCCAATTTTTTTTTCTCACAATTTTCGGACATATTATAGATATTAATTTTTTAAAAATAAAATAAAATCAGCAGATTATTAGATATTGGAAATAATTTTGATTGCTTCCAAATGTCGATTTTGGAAATTGACAAATTTACAAAATTGCAATTAATGCAGGTAATATTCAGCAATATTATGTATAATAAGATGCACAGGAGAACATTTCATTCCGTAGGATAATTCTACTAAAAAAGATCTTTTTCACTAATTTCCTAAAGGGGTATATAAGAAAAAGTAATTACAGTAAAGGTTAGAGACTTAACTATAATATTTTAGGGCCTGCACTACTATTAAACTGACTTCAACATATCTATTCATGCTTTGGGATTATTCACATAGGGGAGTGTGGTGCTCAACACTGATATGTATAATTTGAGTTTATTTTTATTTATTTTTTTTGTTGCATCTTTTCAAAATAAAATCCTCATTGGAGGACCTTGGAGGGGGGGACATACAGGCTGGGCACAACTCCTGATTGGAGCATGTGAATAATGGATGCAGCAGTAACATTGGAGGAGCGTGAGTTGGGTGGATTTCCCTTTTACTCTGTAGGGGACTGAGCAGCTACAGCAGCAGCAGCTACAGCAGCAGCGTCGTAGTAAAATGCGGTGCTGAGAAAAAAGAGGAGGCAGAAACAGAGAAGCGAGGGAGGGAGATAGAAGGAGAGAGATAGAGAGAGAGAGCAGACCACCCGGCACAATTGTTCATACCTCAGAAAAACAGAGGAGAGCGGTCGTCCTCTCCTCCTGCTCGGACATGTGGTGCACCCAGCAGCGGCGGGTCTAGTAGCGGCTCAGGCGGGCGGTGGAGGAGCGGCGGAGCGGCGGAGCGGCGGCGGCGGCTAGCCCACTTCTTTTGTCTTTAATTTTCCTCCCGTTTTTTTAAAAATATTTTTTGTATTTTTTTGGTGTGTGCGTCCTTCGGTAATGAGCCTGCTGGGGGCCTACAAGAAAAAGACCAGTTACGATGGCTATGAATCTTTGCAGTTGGTCGATAGCGGCGGAGATAGCTTCAGCATCGGCAGAGGGAGCAGCGGCGGCGGCGGCGGCGGCGGCGGCAGCGGCGCACTCGGAGGCTCCATAGCGGCCACCCTTGGACCGAAGGCAGGCCCGCTGAGAGAGGAGGACTGCAGCACCATGGACAGCTCAGGTAAGAATCCTCGCCGCCCCCGGATACGCTCGCGTGGCGATTGTGTGGTTGTGTGGAGAGGGAGATGTTGGCGACTTTTTACGCAGCGGCCTGCGCCTGACAGCGGTGGACAACAGGAGGGCTAACAATAGTCAAAGTATGCAAGGGTGTCCCCCACCAGAGCTCCCAGTGGCTCCCACACCCAACCTCAATGGTTACACTGGGTTGTTTTGTGCAGGCTGCATGTGTTGTGTGTGCTCCTGCATGTGCCATTAGGGAACTCTGACTTATACTTAGAAGTGTCCCATGACATGCAGACATTTATTGAACACATCTATAGTGTTTTACTATCAGGTGCATGGTACATTAAAAATATACAAAACAGGTAAGATTATGCATACATCCATTAATAGACTTTAAATGTTGATGTTAATGTGTGAGAAATAATCACAGAGACCTGAAGTTTAAGAAACACCAAATATTCTCTGTTTAGAAGTTTAATCAAGCGGTTCTAAGTCATTCCCATTAGCCCAGCGTATTCCAGGAAAACAAAACGACATGATCGTTAGTGATGGAAATGCAATAATCCATCTGTTCATCTAATGAGAAGCAAAAGCCCCCACACTTGTTACTGGATTTAATCATATTAGATCCTTTGTTGTGACACTTCAATTCTGATCTTGGTTTAAAAAAAATAAAAAAAGGGCCCTGCATAACTTTGTACAAAGTTCCGTGCTGATGATATTACTAGAGCTGCTGCAACCATTGTTGATGTCTTGACTAACCGCTGTAGCTTCTGTCGCTGCTTTTATTGCACATGTTTGGCTCAATCAGTAAGAGATTACTGAGCAGTGGTCTTTAACATGCATGTTCTGGTGACATAGATGCAAAATCTAAACAAGATAGGTCGGTTATACCATCATATGTATATTCTGTGACTTATTTTTCCCTCAGATCCACAGAATAGAAGAAGAACAAAGTGTTTTCTCTAATGTTGATCTTAACGAACAGCTTGTTTTTCTCAACTCAAACTTACAAAATCATCCCCTGTGTTTATCTTAAATCTCCACGAGTTTCCACTACAGGAAACTACTACTCCAACTATGAATGCTCGTATTACGACGTAATAGCAGTAATTATAAAATATGCAGTGAATTAGGGCCTAATAAAGGGAAGTCTGTGAAGCGAGGTGTGTGTCTGTGTGCAGCCTGGTTCTGCCCTGTGTTCACCTCACTGCAGTGCTCTGTGGAGTCAGCCAGCCTCCAGGGACGAACATTTGTGTGAAACAAAAGGAGCTGGATGAGGAGGGTTGGGAGGGTCAATGAGGAAAGGGGATTGTGGGTGGGGAAGAGGAAGAAGCGGAGGGGTGGTGGTGGTGGTGGGGTGGACTCCCGTGTCAGATGTCTGTCTGGGCTGCCAGGCCTTACCGACGGTATCTTTTTGATGTGCGTGTGCACCGTTCTGTGTGTGCGTAACCATCTGTCCCACTTCCACAAAGCCGGATATTGAGGGGTAAAGGTTGGCACTCTAGAAGGAGGGAGACACATTCAAACAAGCCATTGATCTTTTTGGCAAAGCCATGGAGCCCCCTGTGATGTTGACGGCCCACTCTGTCTCTCTCTCTCTCGCTCAGAGTGGCTGTGCTTTGGGCTGCTGTAGTACCTGGTCGAGATTGTATCAGAGCCTCCTCTGGTGTCTGCATTAGCAGCGTTTGTCACTGTAGCTGGCTCACTAGTCTGCACACTCCCACATCCATCTGGACTCACACAGAGGCACATGGAGCAGCTAACAGACTGACAGGGAAACAAGCAGGCAGTTCAGGCAGACATGCAGGGGAACATGGACGACTTTAAAAAAAAAAAAAAAAAGAAGCAGACAAACTATGCAGGAGCAAAGGCACGGTTCATTCACACTGTGGACATCATTGATTTGTATTGTACTGAAGCAACACAGGGAGGACAGGAAAGAAGATGGATGTAACAGAGCAGACCCAGCTGGTGTAGACAATAGAAGATGTAAAGAATAAATGGAGAGGTTTATTTAATCTTTGATATTGTTTAGAGAGGATCAACAAGATAAAGAAAACATCGATTATACTGAATATATAATGATGCAGTGAGCCTAATACAAACAAGTTTTCAGTAGCTGGTTTAGATTTCTAAGGTCATGTTTTTCTCAACACACTAATAATATTCTAATAAGGATTTCTTTTAACATACTGTAAAGTAGTGCTGTCATTTATGGTGTAATTACTTTTATTCATGTTTTTTAGGACTATGTACGTTTATGTATAGCAGAAGTGTTATTACAGATGTTGCTCTTGTCTGATAATTCTTAAGCGATGTTTCTGAGCCAACTGAAAGAAAGAAAGCACACTAACCTCACACAAGCCGTCCATTTAATATAAAGAAAAAAAGAACTCAAATTCAGATTTAAAAGTGGCTCTTTTGGGATGCTAAAATGACTAAAAGAAAACATTGATTATACTGAATATATAATGATGCAGTGAGCCTAATGCAAGCAAGTTATCAGTAGCTGGTTTAGATTTCTAAGGTCATATTTTTCTCAACACAAATAATAATGTTCTAATAAGGATTTCATATAACATATTGTGAAGTAAAGCTGTCATGATATTAGATTTTCACTACTCGGGAGTCACCTGGGCTGATGATATTAGTATTTCAGGAGAACAGATATGTACATCTGCAAGAATAATGAAAATCTACGTATTAAGATTTTAACAAAAACTGCAACTGAAAATTTCACTGACATGACTTTTTTTTAATGATGTTTATTCAGCTTTTTAAAAGTGTATCTCTAAGTGTTGATTAGCTGTTACTGATGACTTGTAACCAATCAGACAGTGCTATGAGCAGGGCGGTGGTGACGGGTCACTACTCAGTGATCGTGGCCAAAAGAATTCATCAATCCATCCATTATCTATACGCTGCTTAATCCTCACCAGGGTCGCGGGGGGGCTGGAGTCTATCCCAGCTGACTTAGGGTGAAGGCAGGGGACACCCTGGACAGGTCACCAGTCTATCACAGGGCTACACTTAGAGACAGACAACCAAGCACACTCACATTCACACCTATGGACAATTTAGAATCACCAATTAACCTCAACATGTTTTTGGACTTGTGGGAGGAAGCCGGAGAACCCGGAGAGAACCCACGCTGCACGAGAAGAACATGCAAACTCCACTTAGAAAGATCCCGGGTGTCTTCACCGGGATGCGAACCTTCTTGCAGAAAAAATAATCCTTTTGGTTAAATTCATCTTTGTTTATTGTGTGTGTTGTTCCTTTGTTAGCAGCTACACTTAAAATACACGTGTAGGGAGATGAAGAGTCTGTAATCATAGTTGTACAAAAGCATACAAAAAGAATAACTGCATTTGATGGACAGTGAAAAGACAAGCAGATGAACTGATAAACAAAAGATCCACAAGGCCAAACATCTGCCATCAATATGATGTCAGCTGAAACCAGCTATGATGTTGGAGTTCCAGTCACTGGATTATTTACAATGTAATCATGTTCGTATCATTAACGTAACATCAGATTTTTCATCATGTTTATGCTGGTTCATCACAACGCCTCTATTGTGAAATTGTACCTCTTTGGTCCTGGAACAGCTATTTAAATGAATGAATCTGCAATCAAACTGTCTTAAAAAATCACCTCATGGGATTATTAGAGTATATCAACAGGCCTAATAAAACAAAAAAAATAGGGTAACCAATCACAGCTTATCAGTCCTGGTTTATCTTCCAACTTCAGCCTGATCTTAATATTGCTCAGTTCTCCCAAAGAAATGTTATTCTCCTTTTCTAAGACCTGTCAGTTCCTTTGTTTTGATTTTGATTGATTAAAATAAAACCTGTCAAAAGGCCTTTTTTATTTATTTATTTTTAACATTTTGACGTATCACAGCAGGAACAACACAAGCTTACATTTTAAAGTCAGCGATGTCTAGTCCTAACGCCGTGCACGTCAGTTCACTGTGACTGGATGACATAACCTGACTGCAGCGGTGGATTTGTTTCAATAACTTTGATGGTAAATGTCAGATTTTGCTTGGACGCTCCAGGTTTAGAACGGCACCTATACAGCAGATCGAATAGGTTTGACTGCTGTTTTGTGCAAATTATAATGTTTAAATCGCACGATCTATTTGCAAAAATGATCCAGGCACATTCGCTTTTCATATTTTAAAACTAGGACTTGGATAAAACATTTGAAGGTGCAGGGGTGGTGACACTTGTGTACAAAAGGATTTTCACAAGTTTTATAAACCTGTTTGCCTATTTAACAGCCAGCTTTTAGCAGCCTATAGTAGCTTACTTGTCATTCAGAGGAGCGGAATGCACCTCTGGTTAAGCTCTATAGTAGATGATTAATCATAAACTCCTTGTCTCATCAGCAGCATCTATAATTAAGCAGATTAGAGTTGGGTTGACGCCGCAGTCATTGAAGTCCTGGACAAAGCAAGGCCCAGCAGGGTAGTGGCACCGAGATCGAGTGCAGCGCAGTGTGTTTGCCTGTCGGCCTTCATTGTTGTGCATATGCGTCTATCTGTGTCATTCACACCAGGCCGGATATTGAGGGAGAAAGGTTTGAGGCTGCAGGAGGAGGGAGACATATTCAGACAGCCCACTGATCTCTCTGGACATAACTAGAACTGCCTTTCTCTTTTCTTTTTCCCTCTCCCCTCAGCCATCCCTCTCTTCCCCTCTCCGTTTCTATTGGTCGACTTGGTGAAAGCGATAGGGGGAGGAGAGGGGGGGAGGAGGAGGGATGTTGGCCTGGTCTTGTTTTCGTGGAACGGCAACTCTCTGTCTCTGTTGAGAGGTTCCTTTGAAGCGCGTTTGTTCCTGCAGCAGCATCGTCGCTGCCTCTCCACCTGTGCAGGTATCAAACATCCGGTGCTGAAGTCGCTCAGCTCTTGATTTCAAGGTAGAGCAGGATCCTGGTTTTCCTAATAAATCCTGTCATGCTCACTGGTTAGCAGACGTGCAAAGGGAAAAAGCTTAAAAATAGACCAAAACCTGCTGGTGATGCTACAGCCTCTCCTGAAGAAGGCAGGGAGAGCCTTTCACTTTGTGTTCCATCGCCGAGACATGCCTGTTGTGGGGTAGATTAAAGGAACAGTCAAATATTTTGAGAGTTGCTTTCTTGCTGAGAGACACATGAAAAGATTGGTACTGCTCTCTTGTCTGTGTAGTTAAAGTTACTCTACAGACAGTTAGCTTAGCTTAGCATGCAGACTGGAAACGGAGGTGAAAAGAGGGAAGAGCTGCCACCCACCGACCACCGGATACAGTCTCAGTGCTGGTCGCACTCGTTCATCTTATGGAATGTTGGCATCATATTTGGAAAATATATCTTATATCTTACACGGATATACATATACAAACGTTTTCACTCTTAACGTGAGAGTTCAGCGGAGCGTTGTCACTTAGTTTGATGAAAAAATGACTTTTTTGCAATATGTGAAAATGTTAGAACGGGACCCCTATGGACACGAATGATTTTATTTATTTTTTATTTTTTGCTAATATCAGGTTTCTGAGAAAGTATGCACATCATCATCATCTAATGAAATAACATAACAGCCAAGCTTCTGTAAAAATATACCATATTCTGATTTTTATGCCAGTAATTTTAATATCAATGAACAAAGTTATAGTGAAGTTATTCTCCCTTTGATTGTGATTTGTCCTGGACCTATTAGTTCTAAATTAATTGGAAACAATCAAACGAAAGTAATTTCTTACAACATTCCCAAGTGCAATTCATTCATGCAAATATTCTTAATTTTGTGTTCTTAGTGTCCTTGTGTTCTTCTGTTTTTCTTATTTATATTGTGTATATACCTTGCCTCTTTAATTTATAGTTGTGTTTTCTTGCTTTTCTTACTGTCACGTTGCTGCTGTGTTGTTCCAAATTTCCCCTTGTGGGACTAATAAAGGATATTCTGTTCTATAGCAAAGTAAGAGCCACATCAAAATTTGAAAATGAATCAGAATGACTTGTGAGGTCAGAGCAACAAAGTCTGTTCTGATTGAACTACCGTCTAAATGTGTTTAACAAAGCCTCCTTCATGTGTATTATATTGTAAAACAAAAATAAACATTGTTTTTAAGAGGGGTGTCTTTACATTAGTTTACCCTGTGCATTTTCTTCGATGAGACTGCAAATAAAAGAAGCCAATAATAGTGTTACTTCATATATTAGCTGTTAAAATCATGTCTTTAGGGGGTTTTAGCCTTTGCTGCCTCTTACAAAGTGTGGACCCTGTCTGCTGCACAGATAAATAGAGATGAAATGCCTGAAGCACACGCCAAAAAAAAAAAAAGAATCACCTCAGAAAGCTGAGGACAGTACGTCTGTGCAGTACAAGGATGTAAAAAATGGGACCTGCTGTCAGCTAAAGGTTGCAAGGTTTGAAGGGACAGATATAAAAAAAAGTCAGCGGTGCCGTGCTGTTCCTTTAGTCTTCTTTAATCCCTTTATATTCTGTTTCCGTGCTTGTGTTTTCAGGCAAAAGTCATTTTATTATGCTTTTAATGAGCCGTGTCAAGAATCTATTAGGGTTTGTTTGGAGGTTTTAAACATGTTCAAGCAGCTACACGAGGCCAAGTTTGAGTTTTTGGAAATGTCTGAGTTCAACAAGCAGAAGTTTTATTTCCCGGGAAAAAATAAATCTCCATCACACATTCCTGCAGTCAGAGATGAAAAGTCTAATTTTGGAATTCGCGGGATTGAAGAATCACCTCAAACATAACACATGTGGTGAAGGAGTTCTCCTTGAAGGACTTTAAAGCAGTTACTCTCTGTGATTATCCATCAAACCTCGTCTCAGCAGCCAGCATTTCTCTAATGGCAGATATTTGTAGCGTCTTTATGTCTCGGTGTGAACGTCTGCTCCTAAATTCTAGAGTGTTCCCTTCAACGCAAATTTTTTATAGGAACATAAAGGCTCAGGTTACATAAGTGTGTACATGCCAACCCGTATCATCCAATGGAAACAAACTCCATGGAAAAATCAGAGGATCCATAAATGGCAGCAGAACATCTTAGATATTAACTTTAAAAAATCAACAGACAGCAAAATGTTTGACTACATCATGTTTCCAGCAACAAGTAAAGAATATGCACACTGCACAGTCTGTGTGAGAGAGATCAAGGTAGCAGCGTACAGTGAGTATGATGCAAAGGAACACTTTAAATTGAAAGTGCACTAGAGGAATATACATCAGGGGGTGAACGTTGTGCTTTGCAACTTCATTGCACAACTAAGAAGTTGCAAACCTATTGCTGTAGTGAATAAACCTGACTTTTGCTACACCTGTACAGTTTTTTAAATATAGATAATTGTAATGATTTTAGTTTTTTTTCTGTAAGCAATTTAAATTGGGAAAATTTCATATAATCCCCAGACATCCCATATAAGTTGGCATGTACGGAAGTATGTGAGGAGATACTGAAGGTGAGAGTAAAAGCTATTGTTGTAAGTATGATATGGAATCTGATTGTTAAACCTCGACTCGACATTATAATTTGATTATTAAATATCTTTGGTTTCCACATACAGAAATGCTTTGTCACACTTGAGGAGCAACTGATCTGGAAGTGGCCGTAACACACACAGTATGAGGCCCAGCAGCCCTCCAGGATAAAAAATGGCCGGCAATAGCTAATTAGCTGTTCGTCTTAGGTTATGGTTTTTGTGGCAGGAACATCACACAAATTGCAGCCAGCTAGCAGCTCATCACACAGTTATACACATCATAAGGAACCATCTGCCTCACCTCAACAAACTGCTCAGTTTCACCGATACTGATCTGAGAAACTCAGGACGACTTTAACAGCTGAAGCCGACGTAAAACCAGACCAAAGGTCCCCTGGATCACTGGGAATATTTTACAAGGTTTCATTTTAAAGTCCCCTACCAGTGATTGATTAAACTTCTAAAAATTAATCTCTCTGTATCAAAGTCACATATTTCAAGTGTTTTTCTGTGAAAAAATGATCCCTTCATGTTTTAAAAAATGTCTTAGATGGAACTCTGCACTGTTGCAGTCACCTCTCTCTCCACTCACTCCTCCCCAAACGCTGCAGCTTGAGCACACCAGCTCACCCACAACTCACTGTAAGGCCAATGTTACACTGTCCACAATGCTGCGAGTATCTGCGTGACGCAAATTTCATCATCCCCCTATGTCCACGTACAGCCCAAAATTCGTGTCCACACAATGACTACGCTACAACAACGACATGGGCGCATGCTGAGCAGTTGTATGTATGCTAAGAATATATAACTGCGCCTACTGCCACTGACTCACAAGTAGTATAATTACAACAACCTGTCTGTGTGCACATCTGCACTGGAGCATAATCAAGACTTAAAACTACTCCACACATTATACACTGGCACGTTGTAATATTGGAGGCACTCAGCCATGCATGTTTGAACCAGAAACCAATTCTAAAGACAAATAAAGATACAGAAAGTCCCACCCTGCAATTCGACCGGATTGGTTCCTTGGGTTTATTACGTCTGGGAACTCAGATGTCTGAATTTGTTTTATTTGAGACTGTCATCAGTACAAAGCAGTTTTAAGGTGTGAATGCTCAGCTTTGGCATTAAAACTGCTTTGTTCACTCATGATGTGGCCTCTAGCATAAAAAAAACGCCACATTGACATGTGAACAAGGTAAAAAACTGGATATTACTGGAGGGTGTCTTTAACAACTTTTTCCAGGCCAGTGCATTTTTCTTTCTATTTTCCCATTTGGCATAACCTACTTGCATATGCACACAGACACCACAGTAGTCCTCTTGCATTGAATTATTGCTGATAATAACTAACTCTAAACCCCACCAATAATATGATCCGAACCCAACCCAACACTTAATAGTTTATCAGCACGTCCTGGTTGAGTTGTAGGACTCTATCGCCAAGGTCTCCCTATGAGCCAGTAGTTTCTTATAAGATGATAAGATGGATCACAGACTGACAGACTGTTGGCCCGTCTGTGGGTGGTTTCCTGTGGACTAGAAGTTTTCGATGAACCTCGGTGCTCAGAAGAGACGCTCGCTGACAATCCGGCTGTGGGTGATTTTCTGCTGCATCATGTTTAATGTCAGTAGATTTGTCAGCACTGCCAAGCTAGATATCAAGCGATGCCACTGTGGTTGCTATGTACAGATACAGGATATAAAGGGGAAGAGATGAAGAAAGAGACAGAGGGGGAGAGAGGAGGGAGAGAAATTCTCAGATCACCAGAGGGGTGCTGACTCAGATATAACACTTGGGTCTCTTCCAGCATTTGCTTACGCTTTAGAATGTGCGCGCACACAGCGATGCGAGGCTCCAGATGGTGTGCATTTTACTGCCTTTTCTCTTGTGTCCTTGTCCATCATTGCTTTACACCTACACACGTGTTTACTTGCTGTGTTTTGCAGTGACTCAAACGTTCAAACGGTCAGATGAAAATCTTGAAAAATTCCAGCTCAGAATTGAAGGATCACATTAATTTTCAGTGAGCATTGTCTAACATACTAAAGAACATCATCAGCGTAGAAAAGGTGGAAGGTTTTAACCCAGCACTGTTTCAATGGCTGTCCGCATCTGCAGTTTATGTGTGTGTACCTTGTTTCTCTTTGGATTCTGATTGGCTGAAGCTCCTTTGTCTACAGATATGGATGCCAACTATGGCGGGGGACTGTTGGATATGGTGAAAGGAGGAGCCGGGAAGTTCTTCAGCAACTTTAAGGACAACCTGAAGGACACGTTGAAGGACACCTCCACCAAGGTCATGCATCAAGTCGCTACGTAAGTGACCGCCACATTCAAACTGTATTGCATACAGTAGCTCCCCTTGTCAAATACATGTTGCTTGTTTGCATACCCTCCTCTTTGCTATACACTGTCTCCTATCTTTGCCTGCCAAAAGCCAAGACAGCTAATTTATCATACATCCAGCTAAACAAAAAAAAAAAACAACAGCAGACATGCTTATAGTTGTATTACCAGAAAAATAGGCATCGGAATTATTGAAGTTTAATATATTTTATTTACCCCAGATAAACATCTTGTCCAGGCAGAATGCAATGTGTTCAAATAACGAAGTAAATGAGATCACAGATGCAGTAAAAGACAACAAGATGCCAAATAGCTAAAAGCAATGATCAGCTGGCACCAACTTTCTGTCAGCATTTTCACAGAAACACATAGAAGCTGTATTTGGAAAATCTGCATTGCCTTCTCTTTTATGTTTTCTTTTTTTTTTTTGCCATGACATCGTTATCTTCTTTTTTTTTTTTTTTAATACCTCCCCTTCGGCGAAAGCTGTAGCTGGAGGCATTGTGTTTTGGCCGTCTGTCCATCCCATTCTCAGTATCTCAGGAATGCCTTGAGGGATTTTCTTTGGAAACTGGAACAAACTTTCTCTTGGATTCAAGAAAGAACTGATTGGATTTTGGTCGACTAAGGTCAAGGTCACTGTGACCTCGCTTTCATTTCATTCTTGTGAATGCTATAAATCATTAACACTTGGAACAAACTTCAGTGCATCTGGCACAAATGTCTCCTTGGACTCAGGGATAAAGTGATTAGAGCTTGGCTCTCAGAGGTCACCGTGACCTCACGAAACATGTTTTTTGGAAATAAATCTGACAAAATTTCACACAAACATCTAATAGGATTATATGATGAAGTGATGCCATTTTATATCTAAAAGGTAAAAGGTCAACTTCACAACATAACGTTCTGCCTAAACACTTTTCTAGCTGTTCCTTAACACCGTAAGTGAAAGGGAGATTGTTGCATATTTCAAATTGTTCAGAAACTAAATTGGTGGCATTAATCTTGGGCGTCCACCTTAAAACTGTGGTGACTGTAAAAATATTCTGTGCTGTTGGGTTGGAGATGTGTGTGAAGCATCCACATTTTAGAAACTGTGGTTTCAACATTCATATTTGAAGCTTCATTACACTGTGTTCTATCAGAATCAGGCTCTTTTTAGCATTTCTCCCAATGAACACAACAAAGTCTTCTCTACATATATTATGTGAGTCTGGACAGGCATGGATGTAAACGGCAGAGGCATACAACCCCACTAGTTTTCAATTACATAACATGTGGTTGCACTTTTCTCTCTTATTGGCTGCCGTAGTAGTGCAGTGGCAAACTTATTTCATTTGCATTTCTAAACTGCTTGCCTGTGTGACGCAGGTTGAAATGGACGTATGGGTCCAGAGGAAAATATTGCTGTAGTTCTGTGACACAATGATGATAAACTCGCACGTTGGGCCTGTTTTTAAGCCTCCATGCTTCAAAGGCAGCATGTCAGTTGTTTGGAGCCTTTAGGCCTCTGAGCACTGTGCTGCTGTGGGCTCTGACAGTGTTCACTGACAGTTGTGAGAGAGATGCAGTGGATTGTTTGGTAGTCAGTCAGAAACAGCTGTCTTACATCGCATTCCCCGACAGCCAGTTTGGAGCTTTGGTGACCGAAGACAGCCGACGTCAAAATTCTGATGATGTCGGAAATCGAGCGCTGAAATCCCAACAGTCGATGTATCATGATGCTAAAAATACACTTCGCTGAAACTTGTGATGAGAAAATTAGCAATCAGGTAATTAGATTTTCCCTTCTCCTTCACTTCTTCTGTTTTTTCATGCCGGCTTGGGTTTGTTTCTTGCTACATTTTGAAAGCAGAAGAGCAGAAGAGCTGATGACGTCTCTGCTTGTATTTGATCTTTTTCAAAATTGTGGCCTATAAGGAATTGATTGCAGCTGAAACGCCTCTGTGCAGGTTTTCATATAGTCTGACATAAATTGTTAGATTCTTTTCAATGCATCTTGCACAGTGGAGTGAAATTGTAGCTATTGTTTCACACTGTGCAGACCCGGCTGCTGCTTACTCGAGATATTTCAACACCTGTGACTTCTTATTTGGACGTTTCCTCTCAGCGATTGCCGTGACGAATACTGTTCGCAAACCCAGCTCCAACATCAGTGTGCAGTAGCTGGGCTTTGCGTATGCTCAGCGCTGATTACGCTGGTTAAACTGCATGTTGTTTCAGCTGTCGATTAAAAGCGTCTCCAACAGCTTTAGAAGTGGAGCAGTGTGGATGGAGGGAGGGAGGACGGGGGGGAGGTAGCAGAGTCTGGCACGGCTCGGTCGGTCCAGTGTGTTTGTGCACAGGCATCTGCACAAGGCAGCACAAAGGGGCCTCTGTATTGTCAGAAACACACACAGACACACACACATACACAAACAGCTCCTCTCACTATTGACTCAGCAGGTTTGATCGTGATTATTCCTCTCTTGTGTCTCCCCTCCAATGTTGCTCACATTTGACAAACTCCCACTGTCCCGTCCTTCTGTTTTCGCGGTCGCTCGCCTCTCATCTCGGCTCCACCTTTCCTCCTCTCCGCTGCGCTCTCTTTGCTGTCTATTGCTCCTCTTCTGGCTGAATTATTCATGGTAGTTCATTGTGCCAAATGGCCAGCGCACTGCTGATACAGAAGGATTCATTTCATTAGGGCCCTATGTGTGTGGTGGTGGTGTGTTTGTGAGAACTGTATATGCATGTGTGAGTGGGTGGTTGGGATGATGGGGCGGTCGGAGGTAAGCTACCGTGGCAACCGTCTGAAAGCTTCAGAAAAGAACAGGTAGATGAGCAGAGGTGTTAAAACGGGTTTCAGAAATGGATAGTCGAGTGTCAACTGTCTCGTTGCTGTGGAAAACCGAAGAGGTAACTGTGTTGTTGTGTGAGTAACATTAAAAAGCTCTGGCATAGAAGCACAGAAACGCTAACGGTGATTTCCTGAGAATGAGGGTGCAGATTCTAGTGTATTGTCCTTGAACTGAGTACACCTGATTAGTATGTCTACAGAGCACTTCCAGATATTTCTGCTGAGGCAGGCCTATAGATTAGGGTCATGATTTTCTTGGCTCAGTCCGGTGCCTGGGAGGGGTTCACCTTACATGGGTGCTACTTGCAGACAGAGGCAGCAGTTAGGTCAAGACACAATAAGAAAGCGCTGCTGGATCTGATGCTGAGGATGTTTTAGTCACAACGCCCTTTTCTGTCCAGTCATCTGTGACTTCAGACCATAGCTGTTCATTCAATTCACTGCACTCACCCATAGACTGTATAAAAGATGGACGTAGCTACCGTGACGTCACCCGTTGGTTTCTGCACTGAGAAAATGAAGCCAGGGTTTTGCTACTTCCTGGTTGACGTCTTGGATTTTTGGAGCCAGTGACGCAAAAATCGTCGGAGGGGGGCGGAGCCATAGGAGCAGCGATTGGTCAGACGGATTGCGAGGCGGGCCCTCTCTGCCCGCCCACATTTACCGCTTTCTGCTCGCTTCATCTGTATGGTCGCTGCCGACTGTCAATCAAGCCAGCCACGCCCCTTGCCCCGCAAAATTTTGACGATTTTTTAAAAATTCAGTATTGATTTATTTTCAGATTGGCCACCTGATCTCTGGATTTGACGATGAAAACTAATAAGAAAAAAATCCTGAGCTGTAGGAATGCGGTATTTCGTGATCTGTGATCACTTCTTTTCCAATTCAAGTCTATGGGAGCCAGGGCTTTTTGGAGCCAGCAGCTCGCGTACGCAGGTTTTTGACACTTCCGGATTGGCTTCATTTTTCAGGGCCGGTTGCTACGTCCATCTTTTATACAGTCTATGCACTCACCACATCGCTCCTACACTGGCCTACGACAGACCTGCACTCATCTCTCCCTCCTCCTTAGGGTTTGGCATCGGGAACTTGTTCGGACTTCGAGCCAGTTTCAAAATCCAGATTCCAAAGAAACCATTAAGAAAATATTATCTCTATTTTGCACATACAGTGGCTGACCAAAATTACTTTACACAGCCACTGCTGTAGCGACGCCCCGGTGCACCTCTCACCCAATGAGAGAGTCTCCCTGACCACAACAAACCCATTAATCTGCAGCATCACCTTCCTTAAAGAGGATGTGTAGCTATAATGTGGGTGTGCTAACCTCACTAGTCAAAAAAATTAATTATATCAATTCAAATAATTAATAAGTGCTTGTTCGCTCTGATAGACAGAGATGGGCAGTGGTGGAGGAAGAACTCAGGTCCTGTACTTGAGTTAAAATGTAACTTAAGTAAGTCAGTATAATCAGTAAAATGTACTGTTGTAGTAAAAGTGAAAGTACTTGTAGTGCAGAAAAATGCGCAGTATGTCATTAGATTGTTATTACTCATGCATTAAAGGCAGTATTTCACTGTTAAAGAAACTGAAATTGAGAATTGTTAAGAACTGGAACAATAAAAATGCAAATCATGTCCAACTATACTCCTGCTGCAGAAACAAAATAGTTTTCTGTGTTCATATTGTGCCCATTCATTCCACCGTTTTAAATCTCATATTCTGCTGAGAGTCTTGCGATCTCTGGGACTGTCTCTATCATGTTTGCTCAGATTGTTGCAGAACATCGCTCGGGCAGAGTCCCAACCAAACAGAAATACACATCATTCTGAAATAAATGGTTAAATCTAATCCTGCTTGTGAGGAGAGTTATTTTAGGATGATGACGTCTTGTTTTTCTTATCCAACATGATCAGTATTGTTTGCTTTAGATTATTTAATCAGCTTCGAGGTTCCACTCTTGACTTTTCTGGGCTTGATTTTTCATAATAAGATAATCAGTACTTTTTTTTTTTTTCAGTTAAAAATGTCGTCAAACAAAACTTAGAGGGAGAAACGCCGATGATTTCGTTCATCACAAACATCTTTTAAAGAAAAATAGATGCTTGTTTATTTCAAGCAGACCAGGCTA